TGTTCCGAAATCCTGTCTGCCACGGTATTTCTCGTCAAGCTAATATTGGCACAAGCTTTTCGCTTCTCAGGACACACAATTTCAGCAGCCTTCAGCATGCAGTTTTTGACAAACTCCCCCTCAGAGTACGGCTTTGATGCTAATGCTATTTGGCTAGCAATTACGTAGCTGGCTTTCACCGCAGCATCACTGACCTCTCGGCTCCGGGTGAAAACAGATTGCTGTTTCCTCAGACCAACCAACATTTCATTTACCTTCTGTTTTCTCAGTTCTCTGTGCAAGCTGTTGTATTTTTCACCATGCTGAGCTTCATAGTTGCGCCGAATATTGTACTCCTTAAGCACCGAAACTTGCTGCATGCACACCAGGCACACGGGTTTCCCATTCACCTCCGTGAACATATAGGAAGAAGTCCATTTTTCTTGAAAAATCCGACACTCTGTGTCCACTTTTCTCTTTTTTGACAAAGACATTCCGCTGATGAGGGTGCCCGTTCCAAGAGAAAAAGCGGGTAAAGCGATTGAACTGACTAAAACACAACGCCTCTAGCGAACAACATAGGAACTGCAGATTTTAAAGAAAATGAAGTTTATTCTTTTTTTTAATAATGCAAATTTATCCCCGGGCCGGACTAAACCCCCTGGCGGGCCGGTTCCGGCCCGCGGGCCGTACGTTTGACACCCCTGCTCTAGAGGGTTGCTCACAGTCAAAAGATTCTGACAATGACAAAAAGCAGAAACAGTGTCATATACGGTCGTTGCCAATGTGGCCATTAAGTACATTGCAGAGAATTCTTTTCACTGATATTACCTATGAGAGAAATTGGTGACAAACATAATTTCCAGTACTTTTGGATGTCCACTGGGACATCCGATACTTACTTCGCCAAGTGGCCCCCCCGCATCAGTACACCTATGAGTAAGGCTGAGTGAGTACCTCTCACCATCTGCTTTCGCGCTGCATTGTCAGGGAGGTGTGCCATGCTTAATTGGCTGTGCTCAGGGTTTGAGTTTTAGGTCTTACCAGTGAGAGAACAGTGGTTGGTAATCAGAAGAGTTGTAGAGAATGCTTGTGGCATTCTTGCAGTAAGGTGAAGAGGTTTCTTTTGAAATGGCCTTGGAGTGTTCAGTTTAAACAGCTGAGAACATCACAAAGGCATGTATTTCTCTGCATAACTATCATTGTGATGCAGATCAGCTCCAGCCAGAAACTGAAAGGTCCATCTGATGGACTCTAGGGTATATTTAGAGAATGGAGTCAGGCAGTTCCACCAACCTTCTTGACACTCAGCATTTCACTGCTATATTTTGCTATATTTTGAATATTTTCTGACTGATAAAGGAAGGGTTACTTGGCAGGATGCTATCATCCAGCGAGGCACATTATATTAAAAAGCCAGGACATAATAGCTCAGTAAAGCATATAATTCACTTCAAGTTCACCAGTTTTGTCAGTTAAGTAAAATGACAATATGGTGGCATTTTGTGATCTGTCCAAAGGCAGTGGTGAAGGGAAAAGTAAAACTACTAATACCACACTGTAAAAGTACTGTACTCTGGTACAAGTAAAAGTCCTGCATTGAAAATGGTACTTAAAGGTCTATATAGTATAAAGGCAGATGTCAATGTGTTGTTTGATTATAAAGCACTCATTGGCTCACCAACCTGTTGCTACTAGAGCTCCAGAGAAAAGACTGAGAGAGGAGATGTAAAACTACACTGAGATGGTTTTTGGTTCTCAAAACCACAAATATATCTTCTTATGGATCAACACTTCAAATAAAACACAGGAGAAGAGGAAAATATGGAGCTTTAAATTCCCATCCACCAACTCAAAGATTTGCTTTTCAGTTCCCTGTAAGTCCCAGACTCAAACTACTAAAACTACGTTGAGATGGTTTTTGGTTCTTAAAACCACAAAAATCTTCTTATGCATCAACAATTCAAATAAAACATAAGAAAATCTTTAAGGTTATGGACCTTTAAGTGAATATATGTATATATTAAAAATATAGGTACTCAATGCAGAAAATTGTCCCCTGTGACTGCAATACTGTTATACATTATTTGATTTTTATTACTCATGCATTATTTTAAAAGCAGGAATTTACTGTTGTGGTAGAGCTGGACAGCAACTAATGTTTAATCTAATGAGAGTTCAATGTATTTTATCAAATACGATATCCACAAAAGGAAGTCAGTAAGAAACTTTTGTTCAATGGAGTAACTGGCAAATGACAAAAACTGTGTGGGTTGCTGTAAACAATGAATAAAAAGGTGAGCACATGTAAACAATACACTGTCACTGCTGCAGAATGACTCTATTTGATTTAAATTGCCCATTTACTGTTCTATGTTTTCTAGGACAACAAGTCTTCAGACTCCACAGTTCATTATCATGGTTTTACTGTAAGGCTGAATACACAACTAAAATTCAACAATATGACTGAAACAGTGTCTTCTCAACCACCCAACCACCCTCCTGCACAGATCAAAGATTTTTTCTGTGTCCTTTTTGTAGATAAAGCAGATCTTATTAATCTGATTAAATCCATTTCTACCCAGTATTTTTTTTTTTTAAAGTATATTTTTTTGGGCTTTTTATGCCTTTATTGATAGTGCAGTAGAGAGAGACAGGAAATGGGGAGGCAGAGAGAGGGGGAATGACATGCAGCAAAGGCCGTCCGATGCAGGACTTTAACCAGGGCCAACTGCAGCAAGGTTTGGAGCCTCTACACATGGGGTGCCTGCTTAGACCACTACGCCACATGACGCCCCCATTTCTACCCAGTATTAACATGTGCTCCGTATCTGAATATATTATATTAGAAGTTTTCAAACTGGGGGCGTGGGAGAGTTGAAAGAGTGTCCCTGAGAGAGACATGTGAGGCAGATATACTTTTGAGGTGAAAGAAACACAGTGCACAGTGCTGTTCTCAAAACAACAGGAAATTTTTTCTTGTAGTTTGACTCTGATTTGGCAACTCATGAATGTCAGTAGTTTCAGCAGAAGCAATTACAGTACTTTAAAACCCAACTCACCCGATTGCCGCTATTAGCCTCAAATGTCAGACTCCTTCTCGAAGTCATCAAATCTTAACACACAGACATGTTGCACATATTTTTATTTTTATTTTTATTTATCCCGTGTGATTTACACCTCCCAAAGATTTCATTACCTCTGATGTCCGTTTTGAATAAACGTCCATAAATCTGCTTAGAAATCATTGAAAAAAGAACCCCAGAACTTGCCTGACATTTGCGGTCTCACCAAGCATTTTAGGTATACTTGGAGTTCTTGTTATCTCAATTCTGCATGTTCTACTGTGATCAGACCTTGGTATGGTGGGTGGAACTGTCAGACTTGTAAGCAAACATGTTGCCAAGGGAAGCAATGCAGAATACTTGGGGGATTGCTATGAAGCAGGGCTCATGCAAAATCCATAGGCTACTTTTCAGTAGCCTTGCTAACTAGGCTAAGCCAGGGTCTGCTTGAAAAGATTTAGTTCATACAAATTATCACCCAAGCACATCTAAAAGAAAAAGTGTTTTCTTCCAAATGTCCACACTTAAAGGTAGAGTGAAAAACCCACAAGCCAGATGTGATGAATCAGACAAGTGGAGATAAAGAAGCATTCTTGGTTTTGCTTGAGAGAGAAGTTTAAACCTTCACACCTACACACACCTGACCAGTCGCTGCATTAAATGGAGGTAAATGTAAATTATCTATATCTGAAAGTTACAAAAATCCCTCCCACCAATTCCAACAAGTGCAAGCAGGGGTTTCCGATTCTGTTCAACTTTCCAACAAGCTCTTAGTTACTTACACTTTAAGATTATTTTAACAACAAGAAGGCCCCACCTTCTTGTTGTTAAAGTAATGTGAGCTTTGCTAGCACTAGTGCTATTATTCACTATGTGTTTACCTCAGTATGTCACAGAACTTGAGCTATGTTGTGTGTGCCAATAGAGAAATGGGCAGTACACAATCCATAGTCCATCAAGGGTTTCAGCAGAGGTGGAAAAGTGATGAGCTGTAAACTTCCTCTCCTTGGATATTGCAGTGGTAGCTGGTAAAAATCCACTGCTGCATGCTGCACTGGGCTCCACTCTGTTATGCCTTTGAGGAAAAAAAGAAACAATTTGAAGGTAGAGCCCTAGCAGGTAACTGAAAACCCTGAAAACAGGTGTGTGCGTATGTTGCTGTTTGCCACAGTGTCATTCTTAACACCACCACTTGGAGTCACCAGAGTCAGAGATCACATCGTACATAGTAGTTTGTCTTAAAACCCAAAAATATGAATTTAAGATCAGAGATTTGCACTTCATCTGTGGTCAAAAAGTTTAAAAAAAGTTCTTTCCTAACCACTTTTTTATTACCTCGATGAAAACCATCATGAGGTCAAGGAAAGATGTGAAGGAGAATTCATAAGGACTTAGATGAAAAGACAACTGCGTTTCTAAGAGAATCAAACTCCGTTTACACTTGGCTACATAATTTTCTGGCAACAGATGTTACTGACATGGAATGATGCATTGCTTTAAATGTTGTTGCCGCAAGGAATTGTGGGACAGCATTATCTCCTTTCCTTCATTAAGGTCCAGTGTACCCTATGCTAAAGGGGCTAAGAAAGGATGCATTGCACCTTTCCGGAGCATTCAGAGAATTCAACCAGCTCTTATCATGGCTGCCACTTAAATACTACCCGTTCATTTCTCTCAGTTAGGAACCTTCGTTAACAAAAAAGACTTTTCAACTGCTGTCTTTGAGTCCTTTTTAAGTATTAGTTGCCTTCAATGTGATGATAATTTTTAATCACATTGTGCTAAATTAGACCTTGCCTTCTAAAAGCTGTGTGTTCTCAGGCAATAACGGCAGCAACAAAAAATGCATAGTGTTGATTAATGTATCAGGCTCACTTTTCTTAACCTTTGAAAACCTATTGTGGTGTCTACCACAAGCCTATAAGCAATGCTTTCTTCTTTTCTTTCTTACCACAGGGGCCTGATATCCTTGAATTCTAGTGACACCTACTACCTGGAGCCAATCAGTGGTGTGGATCCTCCTCACCATTCACTGCTGAGTACGGAGGAACTGCCTATTAAAGGTGGAAACTGTGGCCACAGCCATCAAACTGCACAGTCCAACCACATCTCTGACCTGCTCAGACCATTTAATTTAAGGGTGAGTCTCCCAGACACCTATTTGCAAGAAAATAAGGTTAGGACCTTTGATTTCAATACCACTTTTGTAGGAAGAGACAACCATGTTGGGAAATACAGTTGTACAGATAAGGAAATCAATAACAGTTTCATCTCTGTGAGTCCAAAGATGAGGAAGTGTATTTCCCAATATATGTTCCAAAAACATCTGAAAAATGATTACTACTGAAATACCACAGGAAAAAAAAGTGCCTTACCACACATAGTAGACAGCTTTGTACCATTTTTTTCTCAAGGGTTTTGATGTTATTTAAAGCAAACAAAATGCATACCTCCCTATTAATGCCAGCTTTGGTAGACCAGTGTTCACTTAATAATTATGTTTCAATCACTTAGAATATTGTGTGGTGTGGGAGGATTCTACTTAAGTCAGGTCTCAAGTCTTTGACACCAAGTACAACTCAAGTCTCAAGCCTCTGAGTGCAAGTCCAAATCAGGTCTCAAGGCTTTGAGAGCAAGTCCAAGTCTTCAGTCCAGTCTGTAAAGTTTTCCAAAGTAAGTAAGTCTCAGGTCTTAACAGGAGAAATTTCAAGTCCTCTCAAGTCTTAAGAGAGCAAATCCAAATCAAGTTTCTGAGGGCAACTCCAACTCAGGTCTACAGGGGTAAAAGTTATTTGTTTTTCCAAATGTAACATTGTCTCTTTAAACCAGCCTGATAAAATTGACAGGGAATGACGTTATCAGAGACGAGACACCAAATGCAATCAGATGCATACTCTATATTTACATGTCAATAACATTGTTCCAGGTGAGTTGGTTGACTGTAATAGTATGTACCAAGCTTAATGGCATGTTCAGACATTAATCAAACATTCCCTTCTCATCAGCAGCTCATAGACATAAATACAGCTGAACAATACCCATAGACCAGTGGCAGCCAGTCTGAGGGTACATGTATATTTATATCCCCTAAACACCTCACATGCAGGCAATCGGTAGATGCTAGCTGTAGCCACTTAGGGGGGTGTTGGGGCTGCAGCACTGCACTCTATAATGTCTTCATGGGAGGTTTAAGGGGGTTTATAGATGTCATTGCAAAATGTGCCAATATGAGGGGCCATCAGAAGTCCCTTTTCCCCGTGGGGGCCCCAAACATTTGCACGGTTTGCCTCTCCTGACTGTGCGCCTCCGCCCAGAGCCCAGTGTTCGGTGTCATCACCACCTTTGAGTGTGACCATTCAAGCACTGCATTGTTTTTATGTAAACTAAATTTCACAGTTAGTGCATTGAAAAATACACAAAAATAACAATTAACATTTAATTTACTTTCTCTAATGTAATGGACTGAGTCATAATTCTGTTTTGGTTTATTTTATTTCATAGCTAAATTAAATCACCAGTCACATGAAGACATTTGGCTCTGCAGAGGAAAAGGTTTATGTCATGTGCAAGCACAATATTGAATAGGTGATGCACTGCCTGGAAATGATTGCAATTAGACTTTTACTTAGCTTTTCAGTTTGGTCTGGGCCGACCAAGTCTAGTTTTCTCATCTGCAGTTATAGATGATACTTCTCAGTGGGTCCCTCCACGTTCATCTGTCTCCACCACTGGGACTAATAGTCATTTTTTGGTTTGTCTTCTCATATTTATTTCTTTATTTATCACATTTCCCTTTGCGTTCTCAATTACTTTAAACTGTTCTCATCTTTCTTCACTCCTCATATGTTAAAGTGCTCTTAGTTCTCCACCAGGGCATCGTCCTTTCCTTTCCCCCTTATCTTGCTCAATCCTGTCAATCATACCCCTTGGCTCTCCCAATTCTCTCCACAGCCACCTATTAATCCTGGGTTGGTATGCAGAAATGCCAGCTCCAGCAGACCTCAGACTGTCCCAAGGCTTTTGCCACTATTTGCCTCTCAAATGAATAATGTGATGTGTTAATGCATTACTGTGGATATGTGTGTGTGCTGAGCTCCACAGGCTGTCATTACAGCGCCAATGTGCAATATTGGTGTTAAGTCCAGACTTGAGCCACGGTAGCAGTACCCCCTATAGTGAGTGTTGCACTGCAATTTAAATTTGCACTTGATGAAATTGTGGCACCAAGGAAAATAGACAAAACAAACTAAGTCTTATAACCAATATTAAACTCTCAGTTCAGGATTCTCTGTCTCTGCTTTTTATGGAATACACTGGATCACGATTTGACAATAACTGATTTATTTATAGCTAAATGTCTATAGGCAAATGAATAAACAAGGCGTTAATAGTGAACACATAACAATAAGGTTGGAATCAAACGGAGGCATAAAGTTGATGTTTCAGTTATAAAAATTAACTGATCACTTAGTTTGGTGATAGTGAAATTAGGTATGCAGTTCAAACTTACCACAGAACAGTGAGACTCTAGGGGGATTATCAACTTCTCTAGGACTAAGAATTCAGAGCCCTATTGAACATCAGCTCTTAGCTTTGCTTACTTTTGCAGCATTGTCTCAGAGCTAAATCTCTATCAGTTGGTCCCAAGTGGTTGTTTCGGTGCTGGCTTCTCCGAGACACAGCCTGGCAATGAGGGTCAGACACCTGGGCCTCTCAGGTGATCTGGAGACCTCACTTCAGGATTGGTGGAGCAGAGTCAAGGCTGATGATTCTTGCAAGCAGTTAGAAGTCCAAAACCACTCCAAAGCGTGGTTTGAGACTGAAGCACCTAAATATGAAAAAAAGCACCTAAATATGAAAAAAAACAAAATGATTAGAGAAAAGGTTTGGTGAGCAGAGAAAAGAACAAAAAGCAAAAGCAGAAAGAAAAAAAAGAAAACAAAAGAAGAGCTAGAAAGCCGAAAAAGGACAAGTCAAAAAGAAGAAAACAAAAATTTACTAACAAAGGCCCTTTTATTAACCGACAGCTCTATGTGTTTATTATGGGTGAAGAGCCAGCCTTTCATGCCCAAATTGTGATTCACCTCTAATGAATATTCATGACTTGTGAAGGAATTGATCTGGAAACTATCCTTACAGGTGAAATCACCTCTTTTGCAAAACTTAAGGTGCCAGAGGTCGTCAAGTCTCGACTAACCAACACAATTGCTCATATGTACAGCCAACATTTAAGACCTTTCACCACTGTAGAGGGACAAGGCTTGAACGTGTTCTTAAACTGCAGAATTGTGCGCACCTGTGTTCTTAGATTGATAGTTTGTGCCAGTTGGTCCTAATTGGCATAGGTAAATTCCCCAAAATGCCCTTAAAAGGGCATAAGACTGAAGGGTCGTTTGCAGACACAGACAGAAGTCACAAAGAGATACCGTAAGGGAAAGTTGAGTAAATGCCAAAACAAAAATCTAAAGATGGAGCACTGGAATCAAAACGTAAAAGGAACTTTAGTAGTTCTGAATTGGAGGTACTGCTGCAGAAGGTGCAGTCGCAAACGAGCGGTTAAGTGTTAATGTAGCATTCATTTATTTTAAAAGATCATAATGCCTTGTAAAATAACAAATGTTATTTAAAAAATATATATATATTATAAATGACAAAATATTATTGTAATTTGAATATTGTAATATAATTTAACTGTAAAACAGAAGTAAATGCAATAACCACTTATTTTGCTGAAACATGTAAGCACTCAAATGTGTAAGAGTACTCTTGAGTGTGCATAGATTCTGTTCTTACCTAAGAACAAATCCCAAATAAGAAAACATTGGTGAATGTCAGAATCTTCGTAAAAAGTGTGTTGGTGGGTTTGAAGAAGAAATTTCTTCTTAAGAATGGTTTGTTGAATGAGGACCATTGTCTTTGTTACAGATAATGGCTCAAATGTGGTGGCAGCACAACATACTTGATTTTTTTAAACTTCATTTTAAAATGCGTGTTTGACCACAGCACAACATTATCGTCAACCTGTTTACAGATGCAAAGACGCTTGTCACTCTTAAAAAGAGCAGGGTAGATATTTTACAGTACAGTCAGACCTACCTGATAATGCTGCTTTAATAATTATAAAATATAATAAACAAATTAAATTTTTTATCACTTAGCCCTACCTCACTTTGTGTGCACTGTCTCCTCCTTGAATTTCAGATTACAAAAGGAACCAGACAGATTATATAGGCAAAGCAGTGAGGACGAGGTAGAACAGCAGACTTCTATGTTAGGAGATGCTGCACTGCATGAGGTCCAGCTGTGTTATAGAGATCCAAACCTTCCTGAAGACTTCATCCACCTCCTGGAACCTGGAATGAAGCTACCTGGCACCTGTCCTCTGATCAGACACCCACTCACACCCTCCTCCTCTTGAACCAGGCAGCCCTGCTGAGGGACTACACAATGGCAACATTGATTGATTGTGAAAGATGTAGTATAATACAGTACAGATTTAAATTGTGTTCTTGGTGGTCATTCAAATAGTAGTAATATTGCAATATTTGCAATAACAGCAGCTGGGCCCGTTCCAATAATAATGTTGTATATATCATCAGGTTTTTTTCTTCCTCTGGGAAGTTAGCCCAGGCGGTGGAGCTGAAATTCAATGTTCACCACTACCAAAGATAGCTCTCTCTCTCCTAGCCTAAGGTGTTCTTAAGGAAAACTCTCAATGCTGAGGAGTGTGAGGAGGTTATCGACACTCTGCCAGCAATCACAGAAGACCAGGGACAAAGGAGAGAGTCCATGCTCAACGGGGTAATTCATAGCACTAACACCAAATCCAGTAATTTAATTACAAAATCTCCTGCCTCACTTGTGGAGAGGTGTACAGTGAACACGCTTTCCCACAAGTTGTGCCTTACCTCCATCAACATTAGGACAAATAGGTGAAAGAATTATAATGCAAACTTTATTCGATAACAATCTCTTCCTCAAAAGATCGACGATCGGCTCCCAGTCCCTTACCAAAGTCTGGCAGGACATGTCAGGTGGAGGAGTGCTGGTTTCCAGGAGGCAACAAGTACCCCATCAGAGAGTTTCAGTGTTGCTGGGAGACTCATTGAGGAGAGGCAGACCACCCTCATTGTGCAAGTGTTGGTTCTGGTGCTGGTGCTTTTTGATGTTTGGACAAAACCTTTATATCAGGCCCACTCTCTGCCATATGTTGAGGATTCAGTCTTTCTGCACTTATTTTAATTTTTTGGGGAGGTTGAAAATGTTTGGTTTGTCATGTTAAGTAAAAATAAAAATGTCATATAGTCTGCATCCTCAACACTGCTTTCTTGCAAGGTGCAATATTAAGAGTATAACAGTATAATTATACAACTGTGATAGCAATGTAAAAATCATTTGTCAATGAACACACCAAAATACAACATTAGATGTCATGTTTGGGTTTATATTCAGGTAGGTAAAGGTAGACATGGTGTGATCCATGCACTGTATTTTTTTTTACTGTATCAGACTACAGTCCTTTAAAGGAGCTAGAAACAGGGATGTAGCTGCTAGCCATTTGGCAGATCCCGAGAGTTATATTAGACATGTTTAAATAAATGAGATTTAATTACAGCAGTGGTTTTCCCTAATGGTCATAATCAAGTGTTAGGAGGGAGGAGACTTCATGATGGAGGGATACAAGGAGTCATAAAGCCTTGAAAACACAGGGGCATGGATGGCCTGGCCACTCATACATACAGTATCAGGCTTTTTACCTATTTATGTATTACTTTTTTGTAGTTAGAAGCTAGGTCATACAATCAGTCCTGGTCACTTTTTTTACCTTTACGATTCTACTGACACTAGATGTATTTCTTCTTTTATTTTGCAGTCTGCACAAAGGTCCTAATATTTATGTATCTGCATCAGCTTTGAGATTCCATGTTTATATTCTGTTCTTGGCTGAAATAATTGCAGTACAGATAGTTCAATAAAAAACCTTCATCCACATTTCCTTTCAAATGTCACGCTGATCATTTTTGGTGTAAATCTTGAAACAAAAAGTGTAAACTGTTGTGGCTACATGAGTAGGCAGTGTCACAAAATGGTTACAGTGAAGTCCAACTACACTTTAAAATGACATATTCAAATAATAATGTTTGAATTTACATATGAGTTGATTTAATATTATAAACAACACATTAATACTACTCATTACCAGGCCTTGTGGTCACTTAGACGCAGTCACTCCATGTGACTCCCAAACATTTTTAAGTTTCCTTCAGTATACAGTGATGTCACCTGTACATTCATGGCTGAACCACAGGCAGGAACTGCTAATAGCTAATTTGGCTTTTAATGGAGCCAGGTTGTCAGAATGTCTTGATTTTGTTTGAGAAGCAGCCCATAGTGGCAGACTTTATAATATATATAGTAGTATATAGTTTATAGTATATCATTGTATGTAGTTTATAGCATCGTATTGTGCAGCAAACCAGTACCAACTGATGTCATTGATAACCATGTTCCCATTGTTCTTTGTCTGTCTCAGGTTAAAAGGAACACCTGGGGTACAACCAAGTACATGGAGCTGTACATCGTGGCTGACAACACACTGGTAAGCCGACATTAACCCTCCACCTACTCCACCCATTCCACTGCAGAATATTCCTGTGTACAGTGCATCAGCGTGAGCGCCACATTTATCCACTTACATCAGACAGCCTTCAAATGACATACCAAGATGAAACCAGGGTCCACATCTTAAACAATTATCTCATTCCAGCTAATGGAGCTCTTTCATACTGAGAGCTCTGAGCTGACATAACAGTCACAGCGAGGAAAAAGCACGTTGAGATGAGGCGGAAGGATTTGTCTGCTTAATGAGGCAGCGTATTTAGGTGGAATTTAAAGGTTGAAGGGCTTTTAAATAGACACTAAGCTGCACTGATGAGATGCTATTTCTCCATAAAAGTCAGTTGTGGGTCCTGTCTTCTACATCAATGCCATTGTAACAGCACAAATGGTGACTAATATGAAGAGTCTGTATATACTGTGTTCAGAATGAGAATCAGAAAAACTTTAGTATAGGAAAGTGCTTTGGTACAAGCAGTGGTTAAGAAAGACGAAGTAAATAAGTAAATAATAAAAACTGCTATAAAAAGTTATAATAATTAATACACAGTAAGTGAATAAAAAAATGTGCAAAAAGTCATGTAAATGGACAAAAGTGCAAAGGAAATGTGCAAAGTAGGTTAACAATTAATAAATTGTAATGTGCAAAGGTAAACTGAACGAAATGTGTAATATTGATCAACAATAAGTTAACAGTAGTTAACAGCAGAGGACTGATGGAAATGTGGCCCAGAAGACCACAGCACAGAAAATGGCAACTACAGACTCATAAAACATCTTTAGCATCCCAGGTAGTAAAATGATTGTGGTGAATACCTCGGCCATTTATTTGTGTTTGTTATGGCCCAGTATATGCCTGGTTCCTTGGCCAAAGTCTGGTCTACATACAGCATGACTGTCAGATGCTACTTGCACATCTGGACCAATTCTGGCGCATACACAAAAAACCTTCCTGGCTGTCAGCCAACACTGGAGGATAACAGCTGGAATCAGCCCATATGTAGATGTATATAGGCCAGACACGGGCTGAAGATCCAGGCATATGTTTGGCCAGATGTTTCATTTTGCTATCCGGGATGGTGCCACAGATATTGATGACTCTGGCTCTCCCAGAGAGCCATAAAGCTTAAAGTGGACACCCAGGTATTTGTACCCCTGGTCCATCTCCACCACATCTCTAATAATGGCAAGCAGAGTAGCACAAGTCCTTGATGTCCTGAAGTCCACCACAAGCTTCTTTGGTAGTTCAGCTCACATCAGTCCACAAAACTATTCACCACCCTCTGGTGCTCTGACACATACCCACCTGATGTATCCAACAACTGCAGAGTCGTTGGAGAACTTTTGTTGGTGACAGGTCTCTGTGTCCTGAAGTCCATGGTGTACAGGTCAAAGAGAAAAGGGGACTGGACAGAGCCCTGTGGAGCTCCAGTACTGCTCACCACTATGTCTGACACACAGCTCTGAAGGATGTCCGGTAAAGTCTTTGATCCAGGACACCAGAGGAGCATAAACCTACGTGTCAGGCTGAATAGTGTTAAAGGCGCTGGAGAACATGAGTCTGGCACTCAACTCCGACATCCAGTTGGTGGGTGAACTGGAGGGGTTCCAATGAAGACTTTGAAACCAGGACCAGTCATGATGAACTGTGCAGGAGCCAGGCTTTGAACTCCTCAGTCTACTCAGCACTGTCTTCATCTGGTCAGCAGGTTGGAGGTGGTGTTGTTGCTGGGTGGCTGTTGATGAAAGTGGTCAATATCAAATCTATGGCTCTACCAGCTGACTGCTGGGGTTGTAACCAGGGATGGTCCTCATGCTTCTGTCATCCTCCCTGGTGTGTTGTGCTCCAGCTTCCTCCTACAGGCCTCAGTGAAAAATATAGACCAGAGTTCTCTCTATGTTTAGAGAGGGCACAGCTTATGACAAGTTTAAAAAAAAAAAAAAAAAAGAAGCAGGAACAACTGCACAGGCTCCACCCACAAAAAAATCATGGGTCATTAGCTTCTGCAGGGAACTTTAAAGGATTGTCTCTAACAATTTATTTATCTTTTCTGACTGCAGATCTCATTCATGTCACTAATACTCCGTCTCCTCTGTCTTGTCCTGCAGTTTAAGCGGCAGAATAAGGACTATGAAAAGACCAAGGCAAGGATAATGGAAATTGCCAATTACGTGGATAAGGTAATGCTGATGGGTTCTCCTGCTGCTGACTGCAACTCTTCAGAGAACAAACAGCTCCATTCAACAAGCTGATAGATACTGTTGTACAGTCATCACATGTCTTGATGCCATCTATTACTCATCTACTCTGAAGTTTGGTGTCTCCAAATAAAGGATAAATGAATGAAAAGTGTGCATAAATATCAGCCTCATCAGGAGCTAATCAATAGTGTCCTTCATCAACCCGAGGGCAGATTGAGGAGGAATTGCAAGATTGTGGACAACCCTGCGTGTCAGTTTGTGCAGGATCATGTTTGTGTTTTGTATGTTCAGTTCTACAGGGCTCTGAACATCCGTGTGCCTCTGATCGGCCTGGAGGTTTGGACTGACAGGGACCAGTGCATCGTGACAGAAGAGCCGAATGCCACCCTCTGGTCCTTCCTGCAGTGGAGACAGAAGCTGAAATCCCGCAAGAAGCACGACAATGCGCAGCTGCTGACGTGAGCAAGAGACAGACACAAACACACACATACAGACACAAATCAGGGTTCCCATGTGTCCTGGAAAACCTGGAAAAGAGTTGACCAGATAAACTAAACTTAAACATTGAATAATTTGATAGCATGTTAGGTTCAGTTGCTTGCTAGTTTCTTTTGCCTCTATCAAAAGGTTTAAAGTTTGTGATTCAGGTTGCAAATGTGTGTCGGTTCATTGTTGAGAGTTCGATAATAATAAATGTGAAGCCAGGGTCAATACTATGAATGGGAGCCCAACTGTATGTTAGCCAAACACCAGCTAAATACTTACTAACAGCACTTTTTACTTTGCTAGCATCTTTGTTAGCATCACTTCAAACTCAATGCTGCGTTCAGGTAAAACAGACCATAATATGACATTCCATGTTTAACTGTTGTAGCGGTAGCACTGGGTGTGGTTAACTGCACTAACTTAATAGACGGGGCACTAACCTAATAGTTATATTATGCCTAATAGGCATAAAACTATGGTCTACGGGTCCACAGGTAGAACAAGCTTTGTTGTTCAGTCTGAGTTTATTTCTATGCAGTAGAGCTGGGTTCTAGGCTGTTCCCCAGTAATTTAAGTGAAAAAAGAGAGTCATTGTGCATGTAGTGATAAGGGCTAAAAAGTCTGCTCTACAAAACACTAAAAACATGTTATTTTCCCCCTGGTGTAGGATTTAGAAAATGTTTAGCAGTAATATATCAGTAATAGGAAGTAATAGATATTTCTACCAACATGCAAAATTAATGGTGTTGTTCTTTAATACTCCTGCTGCAGGTGTTTAGATGTTTTATTGCTGTGTTTCTATTTTGACTTCTATATTGACTGTGTGCTGTTGAACTTCCATAACTAGCCTTGACTGAATTTTCTACTCTGCCTCTATTTTAAATCATTGTTTACAGGAGAAAACCCTCAGCAAAAGAAATCATTTCCACATTGTTCAGTCTTTTTATTTACTGAGGTCTTAAAAGCATTGATTTAGATTTTTTTTCAGGAACCCTGTACTAGTACAGAGGCTTAAATGTTATAAACTGGCCGGAAATAATCTGAGCTAATTCAACTTTGAATCTACATATTACAGATTCACAAGTAGGGAAAATTGTAGGCAGGTTATAAATGAATAATTACGGTAATGCCAAGAAAGTGCTATTTGACAGTTCTTGTGATCCATTTGTCATTATTTCATAATTAATTAAGTATAGATAGGTACAGCCAAGTATAGACTACACTTATTTTAAATCAGACTTCCACAAATAGGAACATATTGGTGTATGGCTGACTCCTGTCTTTCATATAAGCTAAGATCATCACTAAAAATATCCTGGAAGCGTCCTGGAAACTAATCTGTAGAAAAGAGTGGGAACCCTGAAAAATGCACACACAATTTACAACAGTAATCAGAGAGATATTAAACACACATAATTTGCAGATATGTTGCTACAGAGAGGCAACCTGATAAAACACAATGTCACTTAATTAAACACACTCAGATGTTTTGCTGCTTCAGTCTAATTCAGTCTGGTATGACCATGAGCTCATGGACATGATTGTTGTCACTTCCTCATGCTACCATTCTTTCTGTTAGGTTACCTAATGTTGATTCCATAACAATTATTTAGGTGTAGCCCACCCACTCAGTTCTAATGTTGTTACAGGATTATCACAGCGTATCGGTACATCTGATAATCCTCTCACAGTGGAGGTGATTGTTGAGGGTTGACTAAAACCATGACTGAAGAGTTTGTATCTGGCCATGAGCAGGATCAGAGAAGCCTGGTTAGCTGGTTATAATCAGGCTGATCTGTCACTGTGAGCTGAACACTCCCATGCATCATTCTTAACCAACTACAGCTCTTATTTATAGCACATGACTCCTGTAACCCTGCTGGAAATAATGGGTTAGAATAGGAATTATTTTAGAAACTAATAACAAATATAAATATTTGAATTATTAATTTAAGTTTTAAGTTAACATTTTATTTTCTGCAATTTAATATTATAGTTGTGATAATTTAGTTAAAATCTCCTAATTTTCTAATCAGGCCCCCCTTACCTGCCTCATCTAAGGTCCTAGGGTGAGTGAGTGTGTGTATGAGAAAAGGGAGGTGCTGTGACGAAAGAGACGAGAGAGATGCGGGAGACAAGTCGACATATTGAGAGAAACTACTGTGTTGTGACCGTACAACAAAGTGTAAAAAGAGTGAAAACTAAGTCATAAAAGTTATAAAACTGTGAAGCAGTTCTACTGCGGGAGCCACGGACCGGGAGGAGTGCCGTTCTTTTGAATTGAGTTTCCATTCCTCGTGTCTCGGTAAGATAGCTTTCCAGGGGCTGCTTGGCTAATTGCTATGTGTTAGCATGGAAATTGTTACATTGAGAGTTCAATTTAATATCATATTGTGGTTAATAAATATTACAATGTTAAGAAGATGCATAATTGATGCATAATATTTAAAATATGTGTTAAAAGTAGTCATTTTACTGTAAAGGAAAAATCTGAAATTTATATTACTGTGGAGAGCCTAACCTCTTTACTTTTCATGCTACTAGAAGTATTACAATACTGTCAAGCAGTAATATTGATTAAAAACGTAGTATGTTGTAAAATTGAATTCATGTTAAAATTAAAAACTTGTTAAAAACTTGTTTTACCTACATGGTGAGATAGACACTATTTGAAAAGGAAAATAAAGGGAAAATACACATTGAAGGTAACGTTATTAAATGTTACTGTGTAATGTATTGTATTATTATTTAAATATTGGTTAAGCTGGAACAGGTTAACTCATATTTTCGTGTTTAATATTTGTAATTTGTTAATATAATGATTGTATTCTGTTAGAACAAAAGAATTCTAATGTCATTAAGATCGAATTGAGATGTTGAGCTATAAAATAACATGCTTGTCATAATGTTGAGAAAATACATTCAGTGTTATTTAGATGTTATTATCTAGGATAATGTTGTACAACTTTTAAAGAGAAAATATAACTAATTGCATTGCATTAAGAAATAAGACAAGTAGAATAGAAACTAAACCTGTGTTATAAATGCAGGTCAGGTTTTTGGGTTGAGTGAGAAATCCTATGGAGGAGTCGTACAACGGCTCCAGTAGATGGCGAGCCACCCAGTTGATACCAGGAACTCAGATCTAGGATTCCACTGAAACAGCGGATCTACTTTCTACTTGTGGTAGGATTGTGTCAGTCCTCGTGACTGATACAGCTCGAACTCACAGCAGACTTGGAGTGCTCTCTGACTAAACAGACTCTGATAAATCAGGCTTCAGTCTGATTTGGACTTAAACTTGACTTTGACAAAATAGTACCCAGGGTTTTGTAGCTCTGTATTGTTGGCACGAATGTTGGAGCTCATTTGAATCTGCGACGGAGAAACTTCAGATTCTGTGCGAGCGGTTTCTCTGGCTGCAGGGTTAAAGTGATAGTTAAGGTTATTAGACATGGGGCTGTGAGAGGTACTGATCTATAGTATCTATATCTGTAGGGACAGATGCTGAGTGATGAGCTGCTGTGGACAATGTTAGCAGACAAAACATGTTTTAGACAGTTTAAAAATATCCACAGAAAAAAAAAGGTTAAATCTTTGTTTTATTTTGAATATCTTCACCAATGAACTACCATGTTCCTACGCACAAGGGCACTTACTCTTAGCACCTACTCCTAGCTCTGACTCAAACAGCTTCTCTGCTGATAAATACAGTATGTGCCATAGATGCACAAAATAAGACACTGAACTGAGCTGAAGTTGTTAAACACATTTTTCTGACTCAGCTTCTGTACCGGTGCTCCTGCTGCTTCTCTAAACTGGAGCTGATCTGAATCTACTGCAGGTGATACACTGACAACCCCAGCTCTCACTTAAAGTCCTAAGCGCCTCTCCTGCAGCAGCCTGTGTGGCAGTGTTTCAAGTACACGATCAAGAATTTCACAAACACTAATAAACCTCCAGTCTTCTACTATAAATGTCCACATCATTAACAATCCCAGTCAGTGTCTATACAGTTAAACAACAGTAATTGAACAGACAGTATTGAACTTACAACCAGCACTTAGCATCTCCGTCTTTTGTCTGCATTCCATACATTGGTTCAGTACCTTGCTTGAGGGCAGTTCAGCAGGTGCTGTCAAGGGCGATAAAGTGTTGCTTGTTATGTCTCCAGTTATGTATCTGCAGGTTTTAATTTCAGCAGCTATATAAATAATAATTATGATTTATTACCAACATGGTTTTATCTCATAATAAAAGATTATGACATTTGGGAACATCACTGAAATCACTTTATTTGGAGGAAGAACTGAAAGAAGTTCCTGAAATGTCACAAATGATTTGTCATTACACAGAAAAACTGTATATTTCCTTCACAAGTTTGGAAACCTGCAGCTCTGTTTACAGCCTGTCAGGTGCTATTATTACTTATTATTACCTTTTTTTATTTTACCTGAAACTGTGCAAATAAGATCAAGTTGTGATCAGCTTGTCAGCATCCTTAACATTAAACAGTGTTTTTCTATTCTCACCAGCATCAGTATTGATCAGTCATTCTTCCACTGAATATTCACCTCAGCAGGAACTAATCAGTGGAATGAACTGCTTTAGTTTCTGTTGGGAGTGGCTAGCTGCCGACTCTCCGCCCTCCTGATGTTAATACACAGATTCAAAATCATCATTGTACCTCAGCTAGTACGAAAGCTGATTAACTCCACTTCCTCCTACATACACTCCCCTGATGAGCCTCTGTGTGTCTCTAATGACATACACGCTCCCAGCTTTGGGTCACATCATTTCATATTTCATGTGTAAACTGACAAATAATTAGTTAAAACAGAGATCATATTTAGCAGAAACCCTCGCTCCACTGAGCTATAATTGGGGCAAGCAACTCGGCGTGCTGGCAGCGATGGCGGCGCTGCATTTCAAATGCTAGCGTGCACACAGTCTGACACACACACATTTGTAGATTTATCCATAAGCAGTAAATTGTTGGCCCCTCTTTCTCTATAATTAGTTATGCTGATACCACAGGGCCTATTTTGTTTTGATTCAGCAGACAGTGCTTGATTTTGTTTTTGTAAGCTAAGTGAGAAATGCCAAGAGACCACATGGTGAATTGAGGTTCATCATACACCCTCTCCCACATCTGACAGGCTGATCAAGTTGGCCGCCGTGCACTGCTGCTGCATCTGCAATCAGTGTGAAGTGTGGAGCCCATAAGTTAACAGGGAGGAGACTGAGGTTAAGTGATTTTTCATTATGTGTATGTGTGTGTTTTTGTAATAGGGGTGTGATTTTCAAGGGGACGACTATTGGGATGGCACCACTGGAGGGGATGTGCAGCCTGGAAAACTCTGGAGGCATCAATGTGGTACGTAAGGAAACATTCCTCCTCTTAGCTCTCTTTTCTTTTCCCCTCAATATTTTATCCCAGTTTGAATTAATCTTTTCTTGACTGTCTGTTGTAGCAATAATAATTTAGAATTTGCTCTCTGAAACGGGGCACCAGTCTTCTGGGAGGACAACGATGAATTACTTCATTGATAAATTTATCAATCTCATATCAGAAGCCATGACTTCTCAATTCAATGGATCTCCAGTCTCTATGTCAAAAGAAAACAACAGGACAACAACTGGGTGTAAATAAAGGAGTTTATTAACTCTACTACTATCCACATAGTAAATGCAAGGTGTAATAATCATAAAGATGAAATTAATAATGAAATGAGCGGTGTGATGAGTTGGCATTTGTGGGAGAGAATATGTCATGGCTATATACTATGGCTATATAGCTAATGACACAACATCTATGAATGAGATTTGGTAATTAAATATTACTATATTTCGACATCAACCCAGTCATGAGCAGAGTGTTAAGACAGGCCTACTGGGAGTTGCGCTGTAGCTGGAGACCCTTGGGTAGAACCCAGGTGGCTGTGGTTGCCATGGTAACCCTGGAGACATGGGATTTAGGTGGATTCTCCTGGAGGCCTTGTCGCGTTATCACTGTAGTGGATTCTGCCAGTGTCTCAGCGGTTCAGCTCTGGTGGAGTTTGCAAGCAAACTTTCTGTCTCGGGCAGTCTTGATTTCGGGTCGGCTTCTCTGATGGCGTCTCTTGTGGGTTTATGCGAAATAAACTCTAAGGCACTTCACTTTGGTTGGATAACTTTAGATGAGACTGGCATTGACCAGATGACTCAAAAATCTTCAAAAAGGAAAAAAAAAGTTACAAAAATGACAAATTACAAAATTACTCTGAGGCACTTCTGTTGTTTTGATTCAGTTGATCTTGACTTGGCTTATAAAAATAAAAGATCACGCATGTAAACAAAAAAAATGTTACTTGGAGCATGTGACAAAGAAAGAATAAAGGACGTGGACAAAATGATCAAGTGCAAAAATGGCTAAGAGCCTTGCGTTTGTGGCTAGCAGCTTAGAGCTAAAAGTTTACATAGCTACAGAGCCGGGCTTTGAGCCGGGACTTTGAGCTTGGAGCAGATGACTTAGAGCCTTTTGAGCTTTTTTGGTAAAATATGAATTGATCATGACTTTTTTATCCCCTGGGAGCTGGTGTAAGTTTCAAGGGTGTCACCCGTCTTTTCCTGTTTTTCAACTTGAAGAAGAGAGTAATTTTCCACAGAACTTTTGAATGGTTTAATTCTAGAGTTTACCTATAAACTCACATCTGTCTTCAACGATAAAACATTAAATGAAATAACACAACCTAAGGGCACTAATAATGACAGACAGGAGTAATAAGAGTGTTGATTTCATATTATATCCTTCAAACCTGGAATTAATCATAAGACAAGTGGTTAACCAATCAAACAACAATATAAACATTTCCTTAAAGCTAATAGTCTATAAATGTGGATTACACAGCAGTTCTTTGACTGTATAATAATAATATGGACATTCTGGATGTCATTTAGTGTGTGTGAAGGATGCTGACAGTATGGTCACATGAAGGACATTGTCTTAAAGTCTACATGTTACATTTCAACCATTCTATAGGATAGAAGTTTGGGATTGAACTATTACATAGAAACATCTCATGAGTTACAGAACAGTTAGATATTTAATTTTACATTCTTCCTCAGATCTGTGTCTGTGAAGAAAGTTCTGCTGGTCACTACCCAGATTGGAATGTGGGTTGTAGTTTATGACTCTTCTCTAGAGAGGGACAGAGGAAGGGAGGAGTGTGTGTGTGTGTGTGTGTGTGTGTGTGTGTGTGTGTGTGTGTGTGTGTGTATGTGTGTGTGTGTGTGTTCATGCATGGCACGGAGAGGCCAAGATTCACACCTTAGTGATAATCAGTCATTTTGGTGTTACTTGTCCTATATAAGAAACAATCAAATATCATTAGAGAGAGTCTTGTTGTAACAAAGAGGAGATTTTTCCTATGTTCTCCATTTGCCTGGTGTCCATTCGTTGATCCTCTGGAGCTGACCCTTTGAACCTTGGTCTGGTTCTGTGTTCCTCTGGCATGCTAAAAGCATGGTCTGTTCTCTCTCAAAAGGTCCTTTGTTACTCTTCCCACCATCAAACTATCAAATTGATAGGAAACAGAGACAAAGTGTCAATTTTGGGTCCATAACTCTGCATGTCCTTACAATTAACTTCTTTAATGGCTTGTAACTGATGCCAGGCCAGGTATGTATGCTACACTATCCTTTGTACAGAACGTCCTCCAAAATATACAATTCTGGTCTTAACTTCTACACTTTAGGTTTTCCTTTATTTCCCAGATTAAATGTGGCATTGGTGAGGATTGTTTGGTGCAGTGGTTGGTGATGTTGCCTCACAACACCTGTCAGACAGCTGGAGCCTTTCTGTGTGGTACCCCAGCTTCTTCCAACAGTCCGAACACATGTAGGTTACATAAATGTTCATTGGTTCATTAGAACCCTGGACTCCTGGCTCTGGATGGCAGAGTAAATGACAGACTATGTAAATGTTCTTGAACTCTGTGCTGTATATTTGGTGCACCACAAATTCCTGCTATATTTGAGGGGCAGCTGTGTTCCTGTATGGTCTGACCCACAAGCACTGAGTTGTCATGTAGTCATCTTGTAATGACTTTCTGACTAAAGATGTCGCAGTTGGTGTGATCCCATCACATGATGGTCTTTCTATTTTATTTGTATCGCACCAAATCACAACAGGCATTACCTCAAGGCAGTTTACAGGGTGAGGTCAAGACCTGACAACATTATAACAAGAAACTGACAGTTATGAATATTTAATGTTATGGAAAAAATCCTTCAATTTGAAACCAATGTTTCAGGACTTTTTAGTGTTGTGTCTCCTGTTATACAGCAGGAATATCTTAAATTAAATGGACTAATATGATTGGTAAGTAATCAATGTGTGTATGAGCTCTCTGTCTCTGTCAGTTCTCTGCCATTTAAAATACATCCAAACACAATGATGTGTGTGAGTATAATACATTCACTAAAGTTTTCACTGTATTTAGCTCCCAATCTGCACCTGACACAGTGAATTACAGCTCAGCTCATTTAATGCTTCAGAGTGGTAGCTTATACCTGTACAGGTTAGATTGTTGCCATAGATACCACAGTTAGTGTGAGGGCACAGTATCCAACTGAGTCAGTGGGATGGGTTTCTGTACAGGGGCTGATTTCACAAAGACAGATTTTGACTGTGGCTAGGTCAGACTTCAGATAGACTGAATCTAAATGTATCTGTTGCACAAAGCAGTTTAGTTCTTCACTATCTTAATCTGTGGGACAGTGAATTCCGGGTAAATGAATTAATGAATTAATTATTTTTTTCAAAATAAAAAAATGGCCGATCAAGGAACCACATCCAAATGCTCAGCTGCGTTTACCCTCAGCAGCAAATGTTTGTCTACATGTGATGTAGACAAACATGATGAATAATTCATTCATTCATTTGGAAGAATTCAAGAGTTATAAGGATGTTTAACTTAAAGAGTTAAACAATAAAACAAATCTGATTTGGTCTCTAAAAACTCTTTCTCTTCTCTTTGCTCTCCCCATAAAAATGTATGCAAACCACAAATTATGCGCCATGTTTTCTTGTTTTTTTGTTAGTGGTTGCTACTGGTCAGCGCATGTGTCATTGATTGTTACTACTGTAGCATTGGTCTTAGGCCTGAGTTAATCTGGGGGTAAGGTGTCCAATGTTTTTGTCTTTATTTCTGTGACAATCTGATTTACATTGGACTGATCTGTGCACAAAGTTAAGACTGGACCAACACTACAGACCAGTCTGACATATCTCTGTCAAACCGGCCCCAGGACTCCTGGTCATGATGGTCCAGGTCTCAAATCATCCCAAAATACATCTTTTTGAAGGATATGTAAATGTAAATTATAATGGAGCTGATATACAAAAATGCAGGTTACATTTACTATGTTAAGAGTTCTAAAGGAATATGCAGAATATGCAGGGTTAGGTTTTAAGACTGGTCTGAATGTTGAACTAAATAAATTAATCTCTCACCAGGTATTTGTGAAATCAGTGTGAAAACCTCACAGTCAGTTTTATAGACTTGATCCTTGTCATCTCATGTTGAAAATTAATACCAGTTACTATGTCTTACATGTGAGTTAAATCTAATTTATTTTCTAGTTTAATCTAGATGGTGTATGACAAAAACGGTATTTTGAAAAGACAAATATATTCAGTTATCCTAAAAAAAGATGTCACGACTTTCTTTAATTGCTCTTTTTGCAGTCTTACTGCTTTAATCTAGTTTGTTGTTCTTCCTCAGTTTGAATAGTTTTGTTTTTAACTGGATGATTGAACCCACTTAGGGAGGAACTGCTTCAGAGTACTGATGCAGGACTCTCTGCTCTGCTGCATCCCCTTTTGGTAGTTTAGGGTGTTAACATTCAGATCTCACCTGGTATCCTGCAGCTCTAAAACGTCCACTCAGAATTATTCAGCCTGTGGAACTGTATGGCTTCATATGCATGTGCAGCAGTGGACTGAATGGATGTGGCCGGAGAGATCGATAGCTTTTCCATGCTTGATTTGCTTGTAATAGGCTGTCAGCTCTCCCGTGGACACACCGTAGCCTGTGGAATCCCAATGTCCTGTGGCCCACCGAGAGACGGAGCCACCACGCACCACAGGACCAACATACACCTCACACACCACACACTACCTCTGAGGTTTGGCTCTCATAGAATGAAATGACACGGGAAGGATTTCAGTGCAGAACATCAGCATTTCCAGACAGTTAACACACCCACACATTATACAGTATGCATAATTCAAAGGCAGAGCTAAGAGTAACTGACAGCTTTCAGCGGATCAAAGAGGAGCTAAATACATCTGAATACTGCCGCCTCTGTGTGTGTGTGTGTGTGTGTGTGTGTGTGTGTGTGTGTGTGTGTGTGTGTGTGTGTGTTCGTGCAGCTCTGCCCTATGAGTCTCACTTTTCTACCTTCGGAACAAGGACATTGTGGCTGTTTCTTACATTAGAACTTAACATTATCTAACACATGTGCCTATTATGTACCACCTTTGCAGCCATTTAGCTGTGTTCTGCTTTTGAGTGACCATTTAATAAAAGCTCTTTATTTGATTGTCATTTTTAGGTCCTGTGGCAGCAGTTTGGGCCAGATAAAATTAATGAATAATAAATGATGGATAAATACTAGATGGACTGACGTTTTGTGCAGCCATTCATGGTCCCCAGAGGATGAATCCTAATGACTTCAAAATGGATGATCCCCTAACCTTTCCTCTAGCGCCACCATAGACTGTAAATAAAGATGGACTTAGCATCTGTGATAACCCCTAACCTCCAGCTAATCCAAAAATGGACAAAGAGGTGGGGTGTGTGTGGAGCAGAGACTTTGGTGCATATCGGTTTGTGGAAAGCATATGCTCACCGACCTGTCACTCAAAGAGGCCACACCCTCAATCTACGTAGCTTTAAGCCTTAATAAAATGTAAACAGGTTTCAGAGACCAAAACTTTTTTGTACCAGGCTGTAAACATGTTTATGTTTGCTGTAAAGTTGGACATTTTAACAAAGGAGTCTATGGGTGTTGACTCACTGTCCAAGCCACACTGTAGTGGTCATTAGAGGAACTGCAGGTTTTGGTACTTTAGTGTTGAGTGCCTCAGGTTGTTGCTTCAGCGCCACCAGAAGGTTGATGTTTGTGAGTTTAACTCCACAACTGTTGGATGGATTGCCATGAAATGTGGCGACTAACATTAATGTTCCCTTCAGGATTAACTTTAATTACTTTGATACCTTAATTTCTATGGCTCTTTCATCTGGCTCCATCATTTTGTTGTATAATTGTCCAAAACTTTGGTTTATAACCAAATGTTGCAAATACAATAAATACTGCAAAAGTACCAACGGTCCTTGTGTTTAGAGCTATTTAGCAAATAACATTAGCATGTAGCTCAAAGTGCCATTGCATCTGATGATTGCCTTACAGAGCTGCATGGCTGAATGTTATAACTTGAGTTCTTCTGACACTGATACTCGTACTGGAAATGCCCAAAGTACTGGATCGGGTGTTGAGTGAGTCTGCATATCTATACACCAATCTGATACCACATGATTTATTAATAGTTTATAAGTTGGTTACTTAGTTTCACACCCAGATAAAACATCAAGAACAACTGTTTTAGAGCAGCAAAGAATTGCTTTGCGGTAAATAGTGTAATGTTAGCTGTTAGCAAAATGTTCCATCAGAGTCCCATCAGTAAAAAGGCAACGTGTTCAATATATAATAATTTAATTTCAAGGGGTGGTGCTAGTGCAGGAAGTGTTATTTATTTTCGTTTTAGTTAGTTTTTATTCCTGTGTGCCGGCGACAGTAAGTTTGTCTGTCCATCTCATTCCCATGGACACGATATCTCAGTAACGCTTTGAAAGAATTTCTCCAAATTTGGCACAAACATTCACTTGGACTCGATGAACTGATTAGATTTTGGAGGCCAAATGTTAAGATCAGTGTGACTTCACAAAATACTTTTTAGCCATAACTAAAGACTTGTGACAAAAGCTCTTGTGACAAAATGTCACCCAAATGGTTAATATTTTATGACTCTGGATAAACAGGGATATAACCTGAAACTAGTCTGAGTGGTGGAGGCAGACAAGAGGTGATTCTAATTTTGTATAAATGACGACAGTCAAATTAGATAATAGAAAAGATTCTATGGTGTTCATAAAGGGTTGGTAGGATACAGCTGTTAAATGTTTTTATTTTTTTTTATAGCTGTTGCTAATTTTCACTTTGTGTCCCTTGTTGGGCCTTTACATGTATAATCAGTTTTCATTATCTTAAAACCACAACACACTACAGATATTAAAGTAGAGCAAAGTACTATACTGAAATGCATTGATTGTGATGTAAAGTCGAAAAAGAGACAACAGCAAAAACTACTCAAAGAAACAAAAAAACAGATATCATACTAAAAAAACATACGTAAAATATATGTATATAAAATACAGATGTTCAGTCTAAAAAGAGATAACAACAGCTCAACAAGGTACAAAAAGTCAAACAAAAACAATCAATACAATACAATTAGCTAAACATGTTGGGATCAGCACAGCTCTAGTTGTAACTAATGAAATCTATGTTATTTCCTGTGGATGCTAATCCTCAGATTGGTTTCTTAGTTATAAGCACCTTTCTTTAGATAACTGAGAGTGCAGCTCTCTGGATGCGTCTGTGGTGTAGCTCTGTGATGTCAATCTAACTAGGTTAACTGGGTGTCTGTGTAAATCCCATCAGCACTGTGCCTCCCTCTGAGAGGTTCAGGGAAACTGTCTCAAATTGCCTGACCTCAGGGAACACATAATCAGCATTTGTCAGCGTGCTCTCACCTATTATTTGCGTGATCCTCCCTTAAATGCCTATGCAATTAAACACTTTGCAAATGAAATGTTCCAAAATGACCTGTAGACTGTAACTGTGGTGCAACTGTGTGAAAAATGAAAATGTGTTTAGGTTTGACTCTATTAGAATCCCAGAGGGCCATAAATGAATCAAGAACAAAAGCAGAAAGAAACAACAGATACACAACAGTAGGCCCAAAGGCTGCAGGTTAACTATGTAGCAATTATTATGGTAATTAGTTTAATTATGAATTTGTTTTATAACACTGCACTGAAGCATAATGCAAACAGAAATAATACGGTTCTTCAGGTGACAATTTCTTTTTTATTAGTGAATAATCCTGAAACTGTGAATGATAAAGCTCCCACACACTAACTAACATATACACATCAACAGTGGTTAATATGGTACAACAGCTCAGTTTTGCCTTGGGGCCAAAATGGAGGGTTAATCCAGCCCTGCACATATGAAAGATGTGATGTATGATTATCAGTCTTCTGAGCTACGTTAATGAGTCCTCCTTCACCCCACCTCCCCACACAGGACCACTCTGAGCTGTCCATTGGTGCTGCAGCAACCATGGCCCACGAGATCGGCCACAACTTCGGGATGAGCCATGACCACGAGGGCTGCTGTGTGGAGGCCACCGCCGAGCAGGGAGGCTGTGTGATGGCTGCCGCCACCGGGTGAGCCTCAGGTGCCGCGTCAGTCTTCAGCATGAACCCACTGACGCTCAGGCTGACACTGACACATTGATGCTAACAGCTTGACATGTGAAAAACATTTCATCAGCTGAAAAGAAAAAACAAATTACATAGAAATGTCTGATGTCATAGAACCCATTTTGATTTCTCTCAGATATAAAAACACAACTTCTTTACTGTTTTATATGGAAGCCCTGAAAGGCAAATACATTTTTTGACCATTTTTGTTCATCTGTATAAACCACCTCCAAAACATGTTTTTTTTTCTGCAAAGAAAGAAAGAAAGAAATAAGAACTTCACTTTCCGCTCTGGAGTTGTTTTCAGAGATCAAAGAAAAATACACTTTTTTTCATCTGTGCAAACAAACCTACACTGTAAAATGTTTTCGCCGTTAAAAAAGAGTAAACAACTGGAAGCAAGGGTGCTGGTATTTACAGTTTGCTACCGTTTTTGAAATACAGCAAAAAGCTGTTGATTTCTACTTTTACAGTAAAATACTGATGAAGGATTGGCAGTTTATTACTGTTTAGTTACACTTTTTTCGCAGGAGCTATAATTGCAGATTGTTACCGTTAACTATAGTACATATATAAAACATGCTGCAGTATAACTGCTAACAAAAAGAACTACATTTTTTCCCGAGACTTTATTAGTTGATAAATTATTCCTTGGTAGTCTTGCCATAAAACTATATTTTAATACATTGAATAAACATGGTCTTTGAAATTGCAACTTAAAATTTATGACAAATAATACTAAAATACTCAAAGTGTCTTTTAAAACCACGTCTCTCTTTATTAAGCTTGTGAAAACACAACACGCAAATAAACCAAAATTTCAGTCATTTAAAAAAAGAAAAAAAAGAAAAAGATCTCTAACAAGTGTTGTAGTCTGCATGAACATTAAACACTGAACGCAAATAAACACAAGAAATATAATCAAAAATAATTGTTTACTGTATGTGTATATTTATAAGGATTGTATGAGGGAACAGCCTAAGGAGTGAATGAGTGGCCAAGGGAACTGAAAACAGTATGGCTAAGACACTAACAGTGTGTGTGAGTGAGTGTGTGAACTGACTTGTGTAGTCTCACTCAAAGTCCTTAATTTCTTTAGTAGACTGGAGACACAAAGGTTGACTGATGCCATCTTATTCTGAGTGACCTTCCCCAGACTTTGACCCGTCCAGCCTTGGTGCCTCTGTCAGGATTTATCCCCATGAATGGCCTGAAAAACAAGAGTGTGTATTCAGGTGAGGAAATAGAAACGTGTACTTTCATGGTGCAGATTAAGTAATAGTAGTTTTGGAAGTAATAGTTTCACCTTGATTAGTGTCAGAAAAGCTTCCTTAACATGCTCCAGTAATCAGATGATTTAGGTAGCTTGTATGTAACATGTGAGACAAAACTCAACAAACACAAGGTCAACATGATCAAAGCTGCTGTGAGCACACAGTACCAGTTGAAAGATGTAAGCATCTCACCTTTGAATTAATTCCAGAGTGCATTCAGCGTCATCTTAGGACTGAAGATTGAAGTTGTAGTGAGTAGAAAAGACTGCAGCGAGCACGGTCAGGTGGTTGGGTGCCCTCACAAATAACGTGCCCCTCAGTGCTGATCATGAAATGGTGAATACAGCTTCCTGGTGTTTCACCTGTAATTTGATGAAGAAAAAAACACATTGACATTGTCACACTGCAAATGATATGTACCAGGGAAACTGAAATCCTTCTACCCATTTATAGATGAGTCCTGGCCTTTTTCCTGTATACATTATAAGGTGTTATGATGGAGAACTGAACCGTGTTGAACAGCCACATTATTTCTGCTCTGTTCAGTGTAATAATAGCGGAAGTAACATATGACGACAGTTTAGCTAGCTTGCTAACATTAGCAAACAAGCTCCCGGTCAATTCAGTCCCGACAGTAAAGTAACGTTATCTAAATAAAACAGCAGCTTCCTTTGGAGACATGCACTTAGCAGATGCTAACACAAAGTAAAGTTTAAGATGAAACTCACCCTGTAGTTTGGAGGATCAGGATCAGAGTCCAGCTCCTCTCTCTGTCACACGGTGAAACTGCCAGTGAAACGGGTGATAGAAAGTCACCATTACAGTGTTACCGACGTTTTCAGATCACAAGAGAAGGATTTTTTACCACTTACTAACTGTACAGCTATACATCGAAGTAGCTAACGTTAGCTGAAAGTACTCACTGTTTGCTTGTATTTGTCAGCTCAGACTCTGAGCTCCAATGACTTAAACTTAATTCAAGTCCAATGCTCCTTACATCCACTCTGAATTAGGGCTGGGACGATTATCCGACGTAATCGACATTGTCGATTATAAAAATTTATTCCACGTGGAATTTTAGTGTTGACGCGTCGTGTAAAACCACACAGGGTAAATGTTCATAGAACAAAACCGGAACTTTCTAATGGGACCGTTTATATCCATCGTCTTTGGTTTACCCGGATACAAGCGCAGCGCAAGGGCTGGGACAACGTGGTGACGTAATTGAAGTAATTGACTACGTGAATGATTTGCGTCTGTGTAATCTATTTGAACCAGCAGTCTACCAGCAGTACGACGGAGCGTGTGGAGCAACACACGGCAAAAAAGGCTCGCACACGGTCCTCCAAAGTTTGGGAATACTTTAATCTTGACACCAACAGTGCGGTAGTCTGCAGACTCTGCAAAGTGCATCTTCATTTGTGTGTGTGTTGGATGGGGCAAATTGTTATATTAAATGACTAACTGGAAAATAATTGCAATGAAATTACTGTTAGGTTAATAAAAAAAATAATCGTTAGATTAGTCGAATAATCGAAAAAATAATCGCTAGATTAATCGTTTAAAGAATAATCGTTTGGGACAGCCCTACTCTGAATACAGTTTTAGCATAATAATCCTAAACATAAAGAGAAGTGTTGAGGAGTGCGACCTCTAATGCTGATATTTGCCTAATTGACCATTGCAGGGCTTCGGTCAGAAAGCACGCAGGACATCAGTAGAGTTTAGATTGTTTACTATAGAACTGTATGGGTACAACGATGCGTTCTGGTACACAGCAGTTTCTGAAAATATATAACAAGAAATAAAGGACTGATTTATCATCGTATACTTCTGTAAATTAAATACAGTAAATAAACACTTCACAGTAACTAAAAATACATTTATATTAGTATCAATCATCGAATATTCATAAGCGCGACTTTAACCCCGAATCATGTATTTACATGCGAACTGAGAGTAATATGAAAGTTAACAGCTATATAAACAACTCAGTTAGCCTAAATGATGCTAAATCGCGATCATGCTAACAAGTAAAAACTGAAATTTCAAAGAGTGCAAATATACACCAGCAGCTAAACAACACAATTAGAAGAGGTAAGTAACATGTACACACTCATTTCACATCACTATGAACACAACTTACATCGTCCAATGACTGCTGCACCGCTGTAAACATGTCGAGTGGAGAATGTGATAAAAGGAAGAGGAACTGCTTAAACCGTCTTCATAATAAAACGCCCACTCCAAAATAAAAGCATGAATAAACAAATGTCCTTTAACTTGAAGAATTCTTAACAAGAAGCTTAAAGTAACTTAAAGACTAAAATTACAAGTAAAGTGATTCGTCTTGTTTTATGGTTTTCTACTAGATAATCAATACAACTTGATTGGAAATGTGATGTATTTTGCCTATGCTAACAAGCAAGGCAAAAAGGCACTCACCTATTCATTTGAAGGATGAAGATGGGTGAAAAAAATCAATGCATTGTCCAGTCAAACATGTCTCACTCTGTTTTCCCAAAATGCATTGCAAAAAATACTGTAAATTACTGTTTTCTTTCCTCCAAGCAATAATACTGTAAAATACTGTTTTAATAGTGTTTCACAAGAAAGATTTACAGTAATATACTGCATTTAAAGATAACAGGATTGTACTGTTGAAATTTGTTATAGTGTAGAGAGGCAAGTGAGTTATTTTTTTCTTCTTTTTTTAAATAATTTTTTTATTGTGTTGCTTCATGATCCAGTCGAACTATGTGATGTCTTATTGGTCTTTTCCATCCAAACTGTCTGCAAGACTCAGTTGTAACCAAAGGTAATAAATTTGACTTAAAATAGATATTACGGAAGCAACTGAGGACCAGTGAAGTAAATCAAACTATAGGTATCCAACAAAATAAATAAATAGATAAATAAAATGATAATAATCATAATCATTAATTATTATTATTAATTATTATTAATTATAGCCGCAATTTGCGGGTTATAACTGTTTTGTGTGCAACCGAGAGAAGCAGAAAAGTTTAGCTTTGGTTGACCTATTCGATATAATAACCTGAAGATATCTACCAAGGTTTGTGATGATCGGACAAATGGTAAATGATTTATGGCGAATATTAGCTAAGCATCGCCCTTCGCAAAGACATTTCAGTCGATGTCGACCATGTTTTTTTCGATCGATCTTGCTTAGATTTGTAATAGAAAAAGTGCTTTTCAGTCACCCAAGACTTTATACCAAATTTGGTATTGATAAAGTAAAAATTCGAAAAGTTCTATTCATTTTACTGTTCTGTAATGTTATGCTAATTAACTCAAAATCCATAATGGTAGTCGCTATTATGACAGAGGCTTTTTGTAGAGAATTATTGACCTGTAGGTGAGAGGTAAATTTGAAAACAATGGGACTCTCGGACAGCCTTTCAAATTTTTTACAATTTTGACTCTTAATTTTAGTGCCACCATATGGCCGAATCTGACAATATTTTTTGTGAAGCATTTACACACCATTTGAAGTTATGATACCAATTTTTGTGTGTCTGTCTTGTTCCAGCTCTCTGCAAATTGAGCAAAGGCTTAAAATGGCACATATTGAAGAATAGGCCCCGCCCACTGTCATCAATCAAAAGGGCACTTCAGATTTTCATTAATACTCACGTCCAGAACATGTCTACCAATTTTGGTGAAAATCTCTTATCAGATTTTGAGGTAAGTATTTTTGGCATTTATGGCAGTTATGGCTGTCAGTCCCCAAAGACTGAGTGTTGCTAAACCCAAAATTCATTTAGTTCTATTCATTTCACTGTTTTTTCAAATTAGCAAAAAAATTATCCAGATGGGCTTCATAGTTTAATTGGCTTTTTTGTAGAGCACATTGAGCTTGGATATGTGTGTCAAATTTCAAGTCAATCAGACAAATTGTGTGAGGGGCCTTTCCAAAATTTTATATAAAATCCTTGATTACAGCGCCACCATGTGGCCGATTGCGCTCATACTTCTTGGGTCAGTAGCGCACATAATTTCCAGGTATTTGGCCAAGTTTCGTGTCTCTCACTCATTCCAGCTCATGGCAATTTCATCCGAGGTATAAGAACAAATAATAATAATAAACCTGAGCAAAAACAATAGGGTTCTACCAGTTCAGGGTTAGAACCCTAATAATACATAAAAACTGAGAAACCAAACGAATCCAAATAACTAAAAGCAAAAAGTTGTGAGTTTACCTGCATGATGTACAAATCCTTTTATAAAAAGGGCATTTAAAAAAATCACATAATAGAAATGATGAGGTGATGTATCTTATCCATCTTTCACATATTTTTGTTTCGACATTTTGTCATTTTTGTCAAACAGCATGCAAGTGTGTGGCTATAAAAAAAAACAAAAAACGAATGCGTCGGCTTCTTGTGGCAGCGTGCGTGTGTTTAGCTTGTTCAGCTCTGCCTCACTCATAGCTCCTACGGGCTATCCACCATTCTACAAACTCTCCAGTATCTCGAGCCGGCCGTAGGCTGGCGTCCCCACTCTGCCGTCAGTGTCTCCTCTGTTCCTCCGCCGCTCTCAGCACACACGTCCTGCATACCTGTGCTGCATCTCCTGATTAGCTGTGGAGGCAGGTAGAATACACCACTGTGGAGCCCAATGCACCTATCAGTGCCTCCCGCACCCAGGTGTCTTCTTGGTTTAAATGAACCCAACAAGGAGACACGCACACACACACAGTCACCCTGTGACATTTTCATAAATAAAGTCATTCTTTCCATCCTAAAGATTTCATAAATAATGTCAATCCAATCATCCACTGTAGGAGTTCCTAGTTTTAACCACTTTCTACTAATGTCTTTCCTGCAGAGCTTAGAATCCAAAATAAATAAAATAAAAACACGTCTCATGTTCAACCGAATGTTCACCTGGAGAACTTTATGAACCTCTCTCTAGAACTGAATTAGTAACAGACATGACCAAGATGTATGATAATGATTTTCCTCGGAGAACCGACACTGTTTCTAGCAACTGAAGATTTGGTGAAGTGATTCTATAGACCTGAGTGATGAAGGATTTGAAGAGATTTTTTATAACAAAACTTTTTTCAAGTTTTTTTTTTTTTCTTTCTTTCTTCCTAGAAAATCACTTGTCTCTAGGAGGTTGTTTATACAGATGGAAAGAAAAAACGGAAAAATGATCCTGGCAAAAAAGAAACAAAACTTTCTTTTGCCTTTCAGGGCCTCTGTAGTTTAATTATGATCGTCAAAGATTTTTAATTCCATATGTTCTTCACCTGAGCTCCTACAGTACCCCAAACACCACACATACACACAAAGAACTACTGCTAGTAAAGAATTATGTGCCTATGTCCAGGCATCCATTTCCACGAGTCTTCAGCCGCTGCAGTAAGCGCGACCTGGACAGCTACTTCCAGAAGGGAGGTGGCATGTGTCTCTACAATATGCCCAACATGAAGGACTTGGTGGGGGGAAAGAAGTGCGGCAACGGATTCGTGGAGGATGGAGAAGAGTGCGACTGTGGAGAACCTGACGTGAGTATGAGAGAACTGAACTACCTGTAAAGCAGTCCCTTCAAATCCAGATGAATGTTAAAGGTCCATAGATACAGACTTTGAAAATTACAACATTCCTTTTCTTAAAATTGCAGCTGTTCCAACAGATCAAAAGTAAATACACAAACCACCATAAGTCCATAACACACACCAGTTTTTTTACATGTTGGGTATCAGTGTGGTTTAAGTGTTGTGTACATGCCATGGTCTGTAAATAAAGATGGACGTAGCCTCTGTGACGTCACCCACAGGTTTCTGAAGAGCAGTCACCCATCTGTCACTCAAAGAGGCCACGCTCTCAATTATGTTTGTTACTTGCTGGAACTTGTTCTTGACACACAGCATGTCTGTGCAGCACATCAGCCTGTAGTGCAGGTTGCCTGATCCAGTGCTGATCAGAGGTTTAGGTTTGGTCTTTGTAGTGGCACAGTGGAACCAAACCTGACAATTTCACCGAGACGACGAGCCTCCAGGAAGCTCCATGTAAAAATCCTAAAACTTCGTCTTGTCAGACGTGAGACTGAGCAGTCATCTCATCCAGCTTTTGGGAGGAAAGGAACTAGGTGTCACATTTGTAGACGAGAGTAGCAGGAGAATTACACTGTTCTGTGTTGGTGTCACTGAGGGAAGTTACTGTTGTACGTCAGCTCCTCCCTTGCATAGTGTGGCATCACCGCAGCCTCATCATTGATGCTCTGCAACGCGGCTGAAAGTTTCCTCAAATCTGAGGAATCAAATCTGAATCACAAGTGTTTGCGCTCTATAAAGTCGGAGGTTAAATAAACCATCTTTGGTTCAAGCAGAAGAGCAAATTGAAAACAGTGGAAGCAAATTGGTGGCTGACAGCAGCAGTGCCGCTGACAGCGCCGTTTGTTGTGACTCCCATTCGGAGCAGAGCTGACAGTCGAGCTCAGGCTGCTGACAAGCCACCTGCTTTTAGCATTGCAAATGAGACGAGCTACAGTATAATGCTTAATGGTCTCATCTTGTGATTTTACTCCAACTGGAAACAAAGTGTCCCAGATTGTAAACTGAGTGCAGGAAACCAGCAGCATTTTACAGTAAATCTAGAAAGGTTTTCATTCAGAATGTAAGACGACAGCATTGTACAGGAAGTGGGTGTGAGGGAAGTCACAGAGAGACATTTCAGTTTTAGAATTCAAGCACATTCGCTGCTTTAATGTTCAAATGGACGTCACATCAGAGATTATTGTTGTTGTTGTTGTGTTAGTGCATAATCCCCTCTCTGTTCTCTGCTGACGCTATAATTGCCTTTTTTTCTCCTCGAGTCAACTCCCGCATCTGTTTTGACCATAACCGTGGCTCGGAGGAGAGCACCATGGCAACAGGAGATGTTGTCTTTGTGTACACTGTGTGACACTAGAAGCAGCAACAAAGTCACATTTCTGGATTTAAATGATTTTTCTTCTTCCTGCCCTGTCAGTCACAGAGGTATGTGAGGAGTATGTATTTGATGGGTAAAAAGTCATTTAGCTCATTATTAAGACCCCTCTAATGGATAGTTTGACCTTTGACCTTCTAGCTTTTGGGTGCTGCAGGGCACAGCAGATGGTTCAAAATACACTGTGGTTTCTGGGGGGATCTCTGAGAGAGAGGCTGCTGCTGTCTGGACGTTTGCCACAGCAGGTGAAGTCAGATGCACTGACCACGGCAGAGCTGCGCACATACATTCAAAATTACCCGTGACAAGACAAAATTTATTATAGCATGAGAAATTTTAATACTTATTTATCACTTTTTGCAAAACACCCCAAATTTAGTTGCTTCTGTGTGAGACTTTTTAACATTCACAATTGTGGATAACTGCAGATGACTCACTAAATTATGCTGATGTCTTATTACACTGACACTTTATTAACATTTAGAATTCTGACTCAATGTGTATTAGCCTTTATTAATGACTTGCTAACGTTTTTATCAGCTGCCTTCATGGCTTTAAGTTATAATATGTAACTTTTCGTCATTAAAAATGTCTAAAAATAATTAGACCTATATTATATATGTTGTTGAGTTGTGTTCTTACATTTTCCCAAATGTTTCCATCAATTCTCAAATTAGAGAAATCTGTGATCTTAATCATGGTAACGTTTAATTGGTCACGTGTCAATGACATCATATCCTCTATGATCATGTGTCAGTGTTGTGTTTGTCTGACAGAAGCTCAACATTTACTTTTATCTAGTTTCAAGCCAAATACACTTTTTACACCTTGGTGGTTTTCAACTCTATATTTGAACCAGATGAAGGATTTTAGTTGTCGGACGTCTGGATCTGAAGTTATCGGAGAAAAAAGCTGAGGAAATGTTAGACAGCTCAGCTCCCAGCTGCTGGAGACGTCCTATTCTGTGTTCACTGAAGCGCGGAGGTTAATCTCTGATTTTTAAAGTAAAACAGCTTTTTTGATGTTTCTACTGGTTTGAATCCCCTGGTCTGTTTGTTATGGAGAGGAGGATACCTCTGTAGATAATTCAACTGCTGGTAAAAACCTGCTGAACGTCTGGTTCATAAATTATCAGAGAAACAATCCAAACAAAGGTTAGCATTAGTGTCAGCTCCAACTCTTCCCTGAGTCTCTGTCCTCCATACAGCGTTGGTCAAACACTGACTTTGAATGTGAAACTGCTTTATTCAGTGTTTTTAATGGTTATAATCACTGGGTCTGTTTGATTTCCTGAACCACTGACACTGAAGGAAACCAAACCTGGAGGAGCTTACAGCAAAAACTCCCATGATCCCATGCTATTTCATGACATACATGATGTCACCCAACGCCATCTTTTGTTATTGTTTTGATTGAGAGACCCCTAGAGGCAGAAGTTACAGGCTGTGCGTTAAATGGAAGGTGGGAAATGTGACTTTTTCTTTTTCACTTGACAATTAATGAATGAAAAAGTGAAGACGTTTTCATAAACTGGCTTCACAAAGGCTTATTATATGATGATATGTAAACCGTTAGTAAATGCTTAGTTAACATTAACTAGGATTGGTCACATGACTGAGTCAATATAACAGGTTTGTTTGTGTGTCTGTTTCCAGGAATGCACCAATGGCTGCTGCAATGCCAATAACTGCACCTTGAAGGAGGAGGCTCAGTGCGCCCATGGAGTATGCTGTGAGGGCTGCAAAGTAAGACACACACACACACACACACACACACACATACAGGCCAGCAGAATAACAGAAAAGGGAGCTCACCTTGTTTGCAGTAGTATCTCATTATCATTAGTTCACTGTCAGTCATCATGTCAATGTAATGGTATACTGTACCCAGAGCATGTCAGCTCCCATCACAGCAGGGCTCGCCGTCTTCACATCACACCAGCACGTTTCATCTCTGCTCTCATCTCACTGTTCAAATGCAAATCATGACACCCCATTGTAACACACAGCAGTGAGCCCAAACTATATTGAGCTTTAGCCTGACAGCAGAGACAATCACTGAGGAAGGCAATAACCTGTGTCTGTGTGCTGTCTGCAGACGAGGAGCTACAACTCCTTTTTGTTTGTGTTACTGTCATCACAGTATTGCTTATCTTTCAGTACAGATTTCTTCTCGAACTTTACATGATACCAAACAGCAGACAGACACAGCCAGAGAGCAGCTTGTGGACACAGTGGAGCATTTTGCAGCTAAAGAGGAGCTGGTGGAGACCAAACACAGAGCTAAAAGAGAGGGAACAGTGGACTGGAGATTTATTAGCCGGACACAAACATGACTCAAAATGAATGATCATGTTGCTCAATGTGAGAAGAGTCAATTTCAAAAACACATAATAACTTTACAAGGTCAGATGTTGTGTTTTCAGCCTGTTCTGCTGTTCAAGTAGACAAAATATCTATTATTATATTCTACTCTATCTATTTATATATTATACTCTGTATTATGACAATAACATGTACAGTGTTTAGCCGAGTTTCCAGGTTTTTAAGAACGCACCATTACCCGCAAATTAAAATACACCACTGTAGATGTTTGAAATTGAAGATCTTCACTGCAATTTAAAGGTCCCATACAGTATAATGTGAGATTTCCATGTTTTTGTTGATTATAAAGCCGGTCTAGGTTCTATATTAAAGCTCCATATTTGCCTCTTCTCCTGTGTTTTATTTGAAGTGTTGATCCATAAGAAGATTTATTTGTGGTTTTAAGAACCAAAAACCATCTCAATGTATTTTTACATCTCCTCTTTCAGGCTTCTCTCTGGACCTGTAGTAACAACAGGTCGGTGAGCCAATCAGAAGAGAGGAGTCTCAGCGCCCCTCTTCTGATTGGCTTACTGTTTTCTGAGTGATACAAAAAAATATAGCAGATTTCAGGTAAACACTCAGAGAAACTAAATCCTGCAAGGTTGGAAGGTCCATATAGTATAAAGGTAGATGTCCATGTGTTGTTTGATTATGTAGCAGGTCTAAGGGTCTATATTAATACTGTGAAAGTATCAAAGCCTCAGTCCACAGAGAAATGCACACGGCCTGTATTCAGAAACTGAGCCTTAAAACTAGCCGACAGGACATCTGGAACTTTGTGTGAACTTAATAAAGTTCTTCAGGTTTGAACAAAGCTTCACAACATGAGCTTGTAACAATGTAAAAACCTGCCCCCAAACATAGTTTAACACAACATGTTCAGAGGTGGAAGTATCGAGTTACATTTACCTCATTACTCTAGCAAAGTTGTTTCTATGGAGTCAGGATTCATTCATTTCACTCTTACTTAAGTATTTCTAACTCAAGTATTTTAATTCTCTATATTTAAAGTCGAAACCATTGCTGAGTAGAAACAAAAGTCACTTTGCAAGAACATATAAAATGAAGAGTCAAATCAGCAGCTGCAGCAGAGGAAGAAGCTGTTGATTGGATGCACCGCCTGCCAACCACAGCAAGTGTCCCAAATGAGACACACCTGCCTTGTTGCATGACCAACAGCTGTGACTTTTACCTTCATGTCCACTGCCAGCGAGGTGTGCATCACCTTTCAGGACTAATGATAGTAGCCTAAAGATGTTCTTAACTTAACTTAATAGTTTTATCATAATATCACCATTGATATTTTTACAGCTACATTCTGGTCTGCCTGTAAGAAAGGGTTCGCTGTGTATCTTTTTTCAGATGAATTATGCTCACCCCTCCCTTCCATCTCATTGCTTGCTCTCTGTCTGTGCCAGTTGAAGCAGGCAGGTACCATGTGCCGGGGGCCAGCAGGGGCATGTGATCTGCCAGAGTACTGCACGGGGGCCTCTCCTTACTGTCCTGCCAATGTCTACCTGCTGGATGGCTCCTCCTGTCAGTACGGGCTGGCTTACTGCTACAATGGCATGTGCCTCACCCACGAACAGCAGTGCCTGCAGCTGTGGGGCTACGGTAATGAGCACAGTCTATGACCACACATTACACACAATACACTGAAGCCACTCACTCAATGTTCCGGGGATAAACCTGCTCTCAGAACAGTGTTCAGCCTTTGTTTAAACACTCTAAATAGAGGTGTTTACCAGTGGAGGTTTTGAATGGCAGTGCACTTAAAGCACCAATATCCAATAATGCTGTTTAAAACTGCTTTAAGCAACAGAACAACTGCCAACAATATTTATACTTAACTGTTGATCAATATAATCAAAACCATGAGCTGAGACTGTCAAAGTGAACTCCCATCAAAACCGTGTTCTGATTCCTTTTCTCTCCCAGATGTGAGAGCCTCTGTGACTTTAAATGTGCATTGTCATCTTACTTTATTGTTCTGCTTTTTTTGTTACAAAGACTGAAAACAGTGCTCCTCAGTTCGATGCCACTGTTAGAGGAGAACTGAGATTTTGAGAATAGAGTTCTGATACTGTTGTGAGAACTAGTGTTAATTTTTTCAACTTTTGTCCTAAGATCCATATTAGTTTAAGTCACATTCAGTCAACCTCTTTTTTTCTTTAAAAAATGTCTTTATTCAGTTTTTATGGATTTTTTCTGGACATTTTAGTTTTGTCTTGATGAGAAATCACCTGTAGTTGTGGGGTAATAACACATAATGTTAGACCTCTGCCTTTTGTCACTCTCTTGGCTTAAGTCAGTGATTCTCAAACTTTTTCAGTAGAAGGACTTAACTAGAGCTGCAGAATTAATCAAACTATATCAAAATCTCAGTATGGCCAAGGTCAATATCCAAATCACAGGAGCTGCAATTTTTTGATAAAGGTAAAATATGTCACAACATTATTGTGATGTAATTGTAATTGTAATTGATGTATTGATATGTAAAAGAACATGTTTGTTGGTACAAGACCAACAAAAATCACATCATCATTTTAATATTTTTTTCAGTGAAAGTGAAATGCAAAACTGACCATTCCAACTGAAATTTCGACTTATTGCAGTCGCAATATATATATTTTTTGAATATCATTCAGCCCTAGACTTAACCATCAAAATAAAACTCTAACACCACCTAAGTCCCCAAACATCCCCAAAACCAACAATGCTACTACTTCAGTATTACTGTGGCGAGCTTGTACAGAAGAGTGTCACCATGGGTCTCAGTTGAGATGATGAGATTACTATTAAAACTCAACATTTGCCTGTCGTGTCTGTTGTGTTGGAGGTCTAATTAGATTTTCTTTTAATTTATCTGGTCTTAATCCTCCACTCCATGATCTTGTCTGTTGTCAGTGTTTGATAGTTAACAAGCTGGTAACTGGTAAAAGTGAGATCAGTTCCAGGGCAGCTAACCCTTCATCCACATTTCCTTTCAAATGTCACACTGATAATTTTTTACATAAATTGTAAAACATAAACTGTAAACTGTCGACTGTCACAAAACAGTTGGACACAGTGACATCCAACAACACTGTAAAACAACCAATTGAAATAATAATGTTTGAATTTACATATGAGTTGATTTAATATTGAAATCAACACATATAAAATACACACTACCAGGCTTTCTGGTCACTCACAGACAGTTTGAGAAACACTAAATTTCAAACATGAGATTTTAACAAATTTACTCAGCACCACTGGTCTTTGAGGCTGGTTTAAGTTAATGAAAGTTAAAAAGAAACATGCCATTATTCACCATCTTGTCCTTAACACCAGCTCAGTTTCAGTGTGGCACCTTCAGGTGTATTTTTTAGGTTTACAGTGTTCTGGGTTTTTGTCCTGACAATATTGTTACTACACACTCTGCTATGTTATATTTAAAGTGGATACAAATGTTTTCTGACTAAGCCCCACTGTTGCCAACATCTCACCTGTTTCACATTGGTCAGGCTCCTGCAGCCATAGAGGGCAGCTTGTTCTAGTCTTCAGCAAACATAAATATAACAAATTATCAGAATAAAATAATTAGTAAACTAAACTTATTTTATTCTCAAAGTAAAATTCCAGATCTACTCTCATAATATTTCAGCTTTGTTGTTGAGATCTTAGATTTCTCTTCCCCCACAGCTTCCCAATACTCCATCATACTTCAACTCAGATTGCACTGGATCAGTCTTTGTCACTTGTATCTGTGTCCTGTAAGACTCTGATGTATTTGGACATTTTCACTGAATAGCCAGTTAATTCTTCAGTAGATCTCCACGACAGTGTCCTTTGTAGTTACCAGAGTTATCATGTGAAAATGTTATATATATATATATATATATATACATATACATACACACATATATATATATATATATATATATGATGCCACAATATATATATATATATATATATATATATATACTGTATATATTGTGGCATCACAAGGGGACAGGTGGTAGAGGGACGCTACATTCCCATACAGGAGCAGCTGCCACATCACAAAATGGCCACCGGGGCAACGACTACCTCTCCCAGAATGCAACTGTTCCATCCTAAAATGGCCGCCACTCCAACTCTCAGAGTGCCTCACCGCTAAGACAGGTGCAGGTGCTTGAGCCACCTGGTTGCAGCAGGACCGAAAAACATGTGGAGCAGAACAAAGAAGGTAGGGGGGGCAGCACAGGGCTGGAAGGAGCAGGATTGAAACCACACCGCAAAGGATTGTGAAAGGACACACCTTTAAAGGAAAGTGGGCACTTTATGTTGGACTTTTATTGGAAATTCTGTTCAGGTTAAAATCGCTCTTCTCTCCGAAACAGCTACACTGCACAGTTGGCAGTTTATTACGAAAGCTTGTGTTGATTCAACTTTTGGTCATTTTGTAATTTTGTGATGCTGTCTAAATGTTTTTGTCATAATTAATCTACTCTCATTGATATCAATGAGCCCTACCTGCATGAAGAGGATTTATCACACTGCTGTTGTATTAGACTGCACTAGTTTTAGTGAAATGTGGCTTCTTAACTGGTAGCTAAGTATATTTCAATCAGGAGAGAGTGAACAAACATTTTTTAACTGCCAAGTGCACAAACACAAAACAAAAGTGAGGGATCAGAGCATCTTGGTGATAAGTATCATATTTGAAAAGGGGCTGAAGCTTTGTGTAGTGTGGGAAGCCCTGTGGGGTCTAGACACTGGTGGGGATGGGAAGGTGAGAACGCTGAAGATCTGGATGAGATGAGGAGTGGACTCAGCAGATACTGAAGAACTGGTTTCAGGTTATTGCTGCCAAAGGATCAGTGATTAAATCCAAGGGTTCACTTGGGTTCCTGTCCTCATTGTGAGGTCACCATGTTTTAGCTCTGCTGAAACTCCACTGTGGGGAACACACAGCTGACTCTTGATTGGATGAAATTGATATTGAGCTGACTGGCTTTAACACCAAATGTGTTTCTCAAAAAACTGTTCCTGCCACACGTCTCTCACTGTCTCTGAGCTGAATAAGGGTCTACACTGTGGTCACCTTCATCATCTTTGCAGCAGACCGGAAGGTGGCTGAGACCAGCATTAGCTGTGTCTATGTCTGTTGCCAAGAGCTTCGTGAGTCAGAACGCTGCCATTTGTTGTCTGTGAAGGAGATCATTACTGACATTGTTAGCAACAGCAGGACAAGTACACGGCCTGAGTCCAGAGGGCTGATAGAGTATGTTGTGTTTTCAGGAGCTCGACCGGCCCATGATGCCTGTTTCGAAGACGTCAACGCAGCAGGAAATGCCTTTGGAAACTGTGGGAAAGATGAATACGGCAACTACATGAAGTGTGAGAAAAGGTAAGATATACTGGTGACAGATGAAAAACATGGTTGCTTAATATATGGGTTGATACCAGGACAGGTAATAAGGATTCTAGACAGCAGATGGATTTCTGTCATAAGACATGAGACGAGGTAGAACAACTGAGCACCCCATGGCAACCCATGAAAAAAATCTGCCAGAAGAAGAAAAATACATGAAAAATTTGTGATACCAAAAATAAAGATAGTCAAAATAATGAGGCACCAAGTTACATTTTAAGTTGTCATTATGTAAACTTATATATATACATATATACATATATATATATATATATATAATTATAATAAATATAATATATAAAAAATATAATAATTCGTTTTGTTTTTCTTATATTTAACATTTCTTTCTTTCTTTCAACATCCAACTACATTTCACCATATCAGAAAACACTTATTTCCTCCTGTGGTTTCTGCCTTTTCCTTACTATAATAAAAGTTCCAATCAATAATCTGACTCTGTAATTATGCGTGGGCATCTTTCACCCTTCATTCAAATTGAGAGACCAGTGAAAATCAACAACTCTAGGGGCAAACAAACAACATTTTACCATAAATTCAACTGTTCATTCAACCGTAATATTTACAATATCTTTAAGACCCTGAAAATAGAAAGTATTTAAATTTGACAAAAACAGCAGAAATTCAGCTGTGGTTTGAAATAAGAAAACTCCTGCTAACTTCAGTAGAACAAAATAGGTGGTAGAAATAGTAGCAAACAAGAGTTAACATTGGCACTGGAGTTTGATGCTGAACTCATGTTTCTTCTAGACTGGTAAGTAAACAGCTGTTAATGCTAACGTTAGCTATAGCAATAGCAAAGCGCACAAATACTTCCTTTAATGTTAGCTTGTTAAATCTACGTTTCTCTCTCCTTTCTTTCTTTTTTCTCTTCCTTCTCTTCTCTCACCGCAGCTGTGTCGCCACTTAATTCATCATTTCGAATTAAAAGCCCTCTGCAGAGTCATGTAATTGCAACTTCATAATATTGCAGCAGTGGCAATGATTTAGCCAAATGTATATCAGGGAAGCACTGATAATGCCTGAAATGACTATGAGTAATGAGACAGCTATTTCTCATGGAATAACCACCTGCTCTTCAGAGCTTTTTAGCCTCTTTCAGCTCATTGTTTTGGTTTTACAGCCCTCAAGTTTAATGTTTTGGTTAGCTGTCATTGCTCTCATCATCAGCCTTGTTTCCAGAAGCAGGAAGCTGTTTCCAGTAAAAATGATATATCAATTGTACACTACCTAATCAGCACCAGGCAGCAGAGAGACACAGTTAAAGGCTAGCTAGTGGAGCGTTTAGTAGCTAAAAAGATATTTTCTCAGGAGTTGGTGTAGACCAAGACAAAGCTAAAAGGAGAGAAAATACTGGACTTAGATTCACCAGGTAGACAAAAACAGGAATCCAAATCAATGCTAATGTTGCATCGTACATTGTGTCTCCTGGATGTTGGTAAGCTTGTATTCTGTCATGTTTTTTCAGCTTGTTCTGCTGCCCCAGCATGTACACAAAATAAAAAAGTGCAACTTTTATGAAACAATAATGAAAGTCCTGGTTTCTCATTATCACAGTTCAGTCATGTAGTCGTCACATGAGCACACACACAGACCAGGCCCTCTGTACACCATCAACACAACTCAGAGACAGCTTCCATGGAACAGGGCCAGAGCTAATTAATGGAGTCAAGTCAATTTAGTGATTTAGTTATGTAAATGAGTTTGTGGATTACGGTGGCTGACGGCTGCCTCATATGATCCACCACTACCCAAATCCATTATAAAGTCCCACAGGAGTCATGAGAGTGTTTTCTGGCCTCAGTGAGACACAGAACTGATTAGATATCTGGCTATTATTAACACGTGAATAATCTACACACAGCTGTGTATCTGTCCATCACTCTGTAATCCTCTTCACTTGTTTTTCTCATGACACACTGTGTGTGTGTGTGTGTGTGTGTGTGTTTGTTTGCCAATCGAAGCTGCATGTTAATCACAAAGATATAGATGTTGACAAAAAAATCATGTATGACTCTTTCCTCCCTCCAACGGTGCTGTGGAGGTACAGTATTCAAAGGTCTCACAGTTCTCCAACTGAGAGTGGATGTATGACGGATCACTACAATATGGATATTCAGATTTTATATCTTCTATTTGTCAGTAGTTGTAGAATTAATGATATTTGGTAGATCATGATGGGGAAATTGAAAATTCAGTCCATTCTCCATTACACTGAGGATCCACATTTTTAAAAATGTCTCACAATATATACTGTAGGATAATTAAAAGAAAAGTCATTCATTTTCTAAAACAGCTGGTCAGTTTTATCAGATGTTACTCAAACAGGAACAGGAAATACAGTGGAAGCCACTTACATGGATCATAAAGTTTCGGACAGAATCATTCCTTCATATGTTCTTAAGGTGATAATAGGCTGACTTGTCGTAATGTGGATTCAGGTCTTAGTCCGTGAATACACTAAGATTTCTGGTTTGGTTTGTGGTTTTCAACTTCAGCTGAGTCTGACTTTCAGTTACTTCAGTTTTATCTTTGTTTAATTGAAGAAAATTCTGGCACATCCAATTTTGATTTCTTGAGCTTGTTTGTGATAACAGTCCCCTGGTGATATATTTGTGTCATCTGTATAATTATGGTCACATATTTTTTTTGTTTTCCATAATCTGAGTTGGTGGGAACATGTAGCTGTTGAACAGAAGAGGCCCCCAGAATGGAGCCTTGGGGAACTCCACGTCATTTTTATCTGCTCAGATGTGTAATTACCTATTGAGACAAAGTAGTCCCTGCCCTGTGAGTAGGATTCAAACCAGTTTAGTACCAAGCCAGAAAGTTCCAGTGATATGTTGTTGTTGACATTGTCGAATTTAGCTCTGAGATCCAGTAATACTAAGACTGAAATTCTAGTCTTCCTATAATTGTTCACTAGTGATGTGTTTAGATGGTTCTGTCTTGGCAGGAATGATCTGTAGTTGTGGATAATTGGAATGTCTGACTGAGCTGCTCCGGTTATCTACTGCTGCTCAGGAACTGCAGGGAAGAGGAGGAGTGCTTCCAATACACTGAGCCTTGCCTCCATTTCAGCGAATAAACTACTTTCATTACATGTATCATTATTTCTAAAGGAGGCAGAGGAATAACTAAACATAAGACACACCGAGCAGGAGAGAGGGAGGGAGAGAGAGAAGTTACCGGCAACAAGGCTTCATACTAACTTCTCTGACCAAATCTACGTATCAAACAGAGGGAGTTAGACATAAAGATATACAGATATAAAATCAGGATTTGACCATAGTAACAGACATATACCAGATTTAGATCTAGTCTTATTTAAGATTTTGCTTGATGATGGCAATTTTCAGGGCCTGTGGGTACACACCTGAGATTAACAAAAAGCTTGTTGGCAGCATAACATGGCATCAGGAGGAGGATTTCAGCTCTTGTGTAACGTCCTCCAAGTTTTTCGGTTGAAAGGATCAAACTTTGTCATGCTACCTCTATATATTTGAAGTGGACACAGGGGCAGATAGTGTCACATTTTGAGAAAAGACTGAACCCAAATGCAGCCAGCACAAGGGAGTAGGTGGAATGAAAGGACTTTACTGAATCAAAGAGTACAAGGAACACAGGAGTAAGGGCACAAGGAAACAGAGAGAATCCAAAAGAAGTTCCACAGGGTAAAGCAGGTAATCCAAAATGAGTATTCTCTGAGAAACACAAGGGAACTGAACCTGGAGCTTTGCTTTGTCTGATCAAGCAGAGTTGCTAAAAATGAACATGGAGCTCTGTTGACTTCAGAAGTAAAGGCTAAATGTCTGTTTGTACGTTTATCTTTGCCCAGCGATGCCAAGTGCGGTAAGATCCAGTGCCACAGTGCTGCCAAGAAGCCTAAAGGCACCAATGCTGTTTCCATTGACACCACCATCAAGACGGACGGCATCGAGGTTAAGTGCCGTGGCACCTACGTCTACAGCACCCAGGACGGCCAGGGTGACCTGCCTGACCCCGGCCTCGTCATGACTGGCACCAAGTGTGGAGAGGGAAAGGTTGGTCCACAGCAGACTGATTAATACAGTTGTTATGTCATATTTAAAAAAACAAGTTTTAATTTAACAGTCCAAAGGTCTATAATGAACAATATTTCCTGTGGAGTGTCCATAAGGTTAACAGGTTTTTGATCAACACCAACACTTGGCTACTTGCAAAGACCTGCACACCTGCCTGTTGTTTTAAAGTGACCTACAACAGAACAAGGAGCAGGGAGAAGGAAACTGACTGCACTGCACAGAGGACACAAAGGATTTAAAGCTTTGTTCTGCAGGGTTTCTACTCATCTATCTGAACACTGGTGTCAGACATCTTCACCTTTTTTTTTTTTTACTGTGGTTCTGTTTTTGTAGGTTCCTATAACTCAGGGGTGAGGAGACAGTCAAACAAAGGTTTCTGTTGAAGTAAAGTGTTTTCATGCACTGTGTAATGTTCTGACATGTATAGCATAATAATGTGAACTAGCTGGGGCCATGGGTCCAGGTTGCCAGAATATCCGGGTACTCTGAGTTCCAAGGCTAATTAATGGTTAATTGAATCTTCTGGCTTTTATTAGCAAAGAGAAGCACACAAAACATCCAGGCCTCTCATTCTTAGCCAGACCTGACGGACATCAACAGCAGCACATTACATCAGCTGTAGCTTCACTGTCTTCATGTAATGTTCTATTATCAGATCAGACCAATATCTAACAGGGTCCAACAAATACGGAAGCCGAGAAAGGCCAAACTCGCAAATATTTTTTTTATCAGGAGAAAATTATCTTGGTGCAGTGGTTAGCGCTGTCGCCTCACAGCAAGAAGGTTCCGGGTTCGAGTCCCGGCTCGGACGCGGGGTCTTTCTGTGTGGAGTTTGCATGTTCTCCCCGTGCTTGTGTGGGTTCTCTCCGGGTACTCCGGCTTCCTCCCACAGTCCAAAGACATGCAAATGGGGACTAGGCTGATTGGTTACTCCAAATTGACCATAGGTATGAATGTGAGAGTGAATGGTTGTTTGTCTCTGTGTGCCCTGCGATGGACTGGCGACCTGTCCAGGGTGTACCCCGCCTCTCGCCCGAAAGGATGCTGGGATAGGCTCCAGCCCCCCCGCGACCCTACTAGAGGGTAAGCGGTAGAAAATGAATGAATGAAATTATCTTTTTTTATCCCAAGATAAGATATTATCAGGAGACTCACTAAGTCGTGAGCAACACTCACTCCAGATAATGTGCACCTCTCTTGCATCATTCTGTAACCATGGAGACAGTGTGATTTCTGCCAGAGTTAGCCTTTGATTGAAATATTCTCTGATGCGTAGATCAATGCGTGGTCCTGACATTTTCACTTTACAGCACTAGAAGTTGCCATCTGCATACTGGCTTGGCACATCTGATCTCTGATTAACAAAGTCATTATAATGAGAAAACAAGCTTTGTTATCTCCAGATAATGAGATAATTATCTCAATATCTTTGGATAACAACAAATTGTTTTCTCCTGATGATATCTCGCTATCTTGGGATAACAAAAACGGGATTATGCATGACTCAGTGTATGAGGTTCAGTCAAAATCATTTTCTCCAGATAATATCTTGTTATCTCCGTTTAACAAGTTTTGTTATTTTGAGATAACAGGATAGAAAAAATATTTGCGAGTATGGCCTTTCTCAGCTTCCATAAACAAAGACCTGGAGTTTTTCACTCTCTACTGGATTCCTGCAGGTATGATTGAACAAACTGTAAAACTGAAACATAGTAGTAGTAGTCTATACCAGAGGTTTTCAAAGTGTAAGGCGTGCCTCCCTGGGGGGATGCCAGAGAACTTCAGGGGAAGTGCAGCGTGAGAAAAAATATAGAAAATATAACTATAAACATTTGGTTAGTTATACTCAGTTATGCATGTGGCAAAATGGATCGATTTTTAGTAGCACTGTGTTGGGACTCATCATTCAAGAGACCAAATATTTATTTGCTCCACTGGACAAAGGAACTCACACTCCACAGTTCCTCACCGTTCACACCTGGGGACGACCCTTCCCCCCACGGACCTTACTGGCCAGCCAGTGTGGGTCAGCGTGTGACATGTGACCCCCAAGGGTGTCACCAAACAAAACCAGATCTCTGGCCCTCCTCTCTCTCTCTTCCTTTCTTGGCTTGCTCTGGAGAGCAGCTTCTGCTCTCGGCTCTTCAAAGGGCAACAAGGCCCCAGCCCAGGTCAGCCCTGCTACCTGAGAAACCAGCTCTCTCGCCCGGCCTGCTCACAAGCAGCCTGCAACACTCTTCTCCTCAACAGCAGCGACCTGCTTCGGATTAACTGAGAGTGAACCAAATTCTCTTCAGAATCAGCATCTACGACACAAGGCCATCTGATTTTCCAAGAAACAGGAGTCATAGCAGAGTCAGCGGGGAACAGCTAACTCTGCAAGGAGAACAAAGGAGAGCCAGAGCCAGACAGGACTTTACTCTACCAGGAAGCCTCCCAACTCACTGGACTTTACAACAACACTGGAAAGGACCTCTTTGTTTGTTCCAAAGACTGGGTAACGTTAACTGACTGGGCCTAACCTCTCCCAGCACAGCACAGCATTGCTAAGCAGCAGAAGTCTTAACTTTGTTAATGTACTTGTCGACTGATGTCTGGTTGTTGTAATGTTTGATTAGGTTGTGGTCAGTAATACAGTTAAGCAGGTACACGTATGTTCACACACATATTAGTACGTCTCTGTTCTAGAACCTGCATGAAGCTAACCTCCTCCCTCTAACCTGGTACCTTTAGATTATATGAGCTAGGCTAACAAAGAAACTCACACCTTCCCTCTCACACACCCCAGGTGGTCACAGCGGCCATTTTGAGTAGTTTCTTTGTTTACCGCCATCTTGTGTAGTCTTCTTTGTTCAGGTCATGTGGTCACAGTGATCACTTTGAATCAGCCATCTTGCCTTTGTCTGTGTCCCCACAGACACACACACATACACCTACACACACACATACACACACCTGTATATACTAGATTAGACATTGTGTTTTACTCTGCTCCATTGTAAATAAATGCCTTTAAGTATAACTACTGGTGTGTTTAATGTTGCACAAGCGTGAATATTGTCAACCTCTACTTGGTAGAATTCCAATCCTTCATTTTAACTTACTGTTGATATGGTAATTCCGTTATAGTTAGTAAGCTAATGGTTAATCAGAGTTCCAGATTAACGGTAATAAATTGAGACTAAAACCATATTGGCTGTTTTGTTTTTAGTTTAGGCTGGTGCCCCGAGGACTTTAATTAATTTTAAAGTTGTTATTTACTATTTATATTTTTAATATTAATATTTTCTTAATTTATGATAGCCAATAAATTGATAGACAACCGGAATCCAACATATTTGGTGTCCAGCTCATGAGGTAGAGCTCAGACCCAACATAATGGTGCCCCGTGTGAGGCCGAGTACTGTTGGCAAATATTCATAATTGTGCAATATTAAATTCATAATTTGGCCAAAACCGCAAAGGTTAGAGCTAAAATTTTAGTCCACCACAGGAGTAAACGTCCAGGTGTACTTATAAACAAGTGCACTGTGGTGAGAATTGGTTTACCAATTTTAGCTGAAGCAATATTAGACGTCCTCCAGTTACTAATAGCTAACACTCAAGCCTTAGTATCACAATAAGAGCCTGCTATTGTTGCTAACAATTCCAGTTGAGTTTATGCTGTAGGAAGTGTAAGAACCTCAGTTCAGCGTTTGAATACCACGTGTTCAATGCTATCTAGTAAAGCTGTCAGAATTGGCTGTTAATTCAAGTGCTGCTCCCTTTAACTTAGACACTGTGTGCCGAAGGCCCTGTGTAATACAGAGAGCTTGTACCTGGATGATACTGCCAAGCATTTCAGCCTGAGTAAGAAATAGAGTCTGAGGTAGAGCCACAGCGTGCTGCCAGCCCTGTGAAACCGAAGTTTTGCACCTAGCTGTTACTGCCTTTCATTACAGCCTGAGTCAACTTGAAGAGATAATCCTCGGACTGTTACTGCCCTTGCATCTCAGTCACTGCTTTTTGAAACATTTCTTAAGCAGACAGTAAACCTGCACTTCCCTTTACTGTCCCTAATCTTTATGCCCACTAGTGTAGCTACCCCTCGTCCACAGGAAGCTACCCCCATAGTGTAGGCCACTGCATTGTTTAGTTAGGCTAGTGTACTGCCAAACTACACTACAAGGTGTCTGCCAGCGCAACACCACAGCCAACTACATTGCCTTCTTGTTTTGTGAAACAACTTGTTTAACCTCCCTCTTTCCCAGACACAACAATGGAGAACTCCTGTGTAGAGCAGTTTATTTCTTCCCTAGCACAGAGCCTGAAGCCTGGCTACCTAGAATTTATCAGCAAGTTAAATTCCAGTGAGTGCAGTAAAGAAATAGACTTGCTACTCAGTGACAGAGGTGATGCTCAGACTGCATCCAAAGGCCCATTGTTAAGATGTGTGCTGTTGAACTTCCACAGGCAGACCAGCATTGCCCTTCATAGCCAAGCAGCCCTAGAGGAGGAGGTAAAATCGCTTAGAGCTCAAAATGCTTTTCTCCTCCAGGAAGTTCAGGAAGCTATCAAGAAAGCAATGCGCTACTTAGGAGACCTGCATGCAGCAGAGTTAGATCTCTGCTCACACAAGGAGGAATTGTTAAGGGTTAAATCAGAATGCCTTGCTCCACCACAATCGTTCAGTGCCTGTGATTCTGGTTTTTCTGCTTCACACTCTTCCCTTAATGACAGGTTAACTCCACCTCCACTCAGAAGATGGGACCAATTCCCAACTGACTCTAAGTCCTGGGAAATGAAATCAGCTCCTCAACCTCCACTGAGAGACAGAGGTTACACCCACCTGACTTCCCATCTTCCTGAAATTAACACTGAAGAGACAGGTAGTTTATCCAGTAGAGGATATTCATGTTCCCATCAGCCACTGATGCATAACACTTTCACCTGTGCTCACCCCTCAAACAGGAGGACCAAAACTTTTCCAGACTGTTCAG